GATAGAAACCAGAGCACACGAAAATGCCATTTACCTTCCCACCGCAATGGTACCTATTTATCTACTTGCACTAGGGTGCTTTTGAACTGCTAGGTTGGCAGGAGCTGGGACAGAGCAACAGGAGCTCACCCCATTGCGGGGATTCGAACCGCCAACCTTTTGACTGGCAAGCCCAAGAGGCTTGGTGGTTTAGACCACAATGCCACCTGCATCCCTAGGAAAAGTACTCTGGCAACCATCTGAAGCTATAATTGACAAGACTGACTAACCCTTAAATATTGCTTTCCTACGTTTCTGATTTTTAAAATGATCCAACGTAAATTAAGAATTTCCAGATCACTACTGCTTAGATTCAGATAGATGAGAATGGTTTTTTTAAAAAACCAGGAAACCAAAAGCTTCCTGTGCTTATTTGCATATTTGCATGTGTTGAAAGAAATCATTGGAATTATGTGTGATGTCAGTCAGGCGAGAATCTGATCTAATGCATCCTACATTTATCTCTGATTTTTGCCTTCAGCCTGACAGCCTAAATATGAGGAAGGTGTTAATTTTATGCAGCATTACAGATGTTTGATTAAAGCCTTTAACAAGTGCTTCTGATGTATAATTTATTTCTGGGTAAGTGACTATTGCTGGCACACTGAATCAGTTACCCCAAAGCATCAAACCCAAAATTCTCACTTTCCTAAAAAGGAACTAGCAAATGAGTAAAAAATAAATAACAGTGATTGGTCAAGGACAAGAATGCTATGCCCTCCTTCTAGGCAAAGTCAAAATCAATTCCTTGTAACAAGCAACTGTTTGTATTGATGAGCCCCAAGCTGTTGAAATTATCTATTTTCTTCAAAATCAGCTGGAAGATGGCAGGGGCTCACTTTCTCTCACTGTGTGATATCCACTATGGGTATATTCTGAGTATGATTTACGTGGGTAACACCAACAGTAAATATAGAGAGACCTGAGATCAATTAGAAATGTGCATTTTTTATTTTTTATTAATGCTTTTTGCTTCTAATGATGGCACTAATAGTTGGCTACACCATTCTAGAGTGCAATTTTGATTGGCTCTTGGATACTTAGATGTAGGCACCATTGTGAAAAATGTGTAAATGAAGGCAAACAATATTAATTCTTTAGAATCCTTTATTGTATTTCAAATCTTTACGCTATGAGTGCTGCCACTTAGGTAGCCAAAATGTCAACAGCCCATTGCCCAAGAAGTGGGTATCAGTAGGCTTGGCGGAACCCCAAGATTTTGAGACACACAAAATGCCACAAGATTTTGAGATATATAAAAATGTTCAGAAAAATAGCCTGTAAGGGTGAAGAGATATCAAAACAGCCCAATGAAGACTGAGCGTGCTCAGTAGCTATGGAATGCTGACTGGCTGATTAGTTTTTAAGAATGAATACAAATATAGATAAGTATGGGAAAGACTGGCAACATAACCTTGGAAGAATAAGTCTGTCATCTGCTTTTCAGGGACTTCATCTTACAACCTTCATAATACAGAACAAAAACAAAATTGAAACCACAATTTACAATAAAATTCAAAGTGTTGGTGCTGACCTTTAAAGCCCTAAACGGCCTCGGTCCAGTATATCTGAAGGAGCGTCTCTACCCCCATCGTTCTACCTGGACACTGAGGTCCAGCGCTGAGGGCCTTCTGGTGGTTCCCTCACTGCGAGAAGCCAAGTTACAGGAACCAGGCAGAGGGCCTTCTCGGTAGTGGTGCCCGCCCTGTGGAACGCCCTCCCACCAGATGTCAAAGAGAGCAATAACTACCAGACTTTTAGAAGACAACTGAAGGCAGCCCTGTTTAGGGAAGCTTTTAATGTTTGATGAATTACAGTATTTTAATATTTTTTTGGGAAGCCACCTAGAGTGGCTGGGGAAGCTCACTTTCTCTCACTGTGTGATATCCACTATGGGTATATTCTGAGTATGATTTACTTGGGTAACACCAACAGTAAATATAGAGAGACCTGAGATCAATTAGAAATGTGCATTTTTTATTTTTTATTAATGCTTTTTGCTTCTAATGATGGCACTAATAGTTGGCTACACCATTCTAGAGTGCAGTTTTGATTGGCTCTTGGATACTTAGATGTAGGCACCATTGTGAAAAATGTGTAAATGAAGGCAAACAATATTAATTCTTTAGAATCCTTTATTGTATTTCAAATCTTTACGCTATGAGTGCTGCCACTTAGGTAGCCAAAATGTCAACAGCCCATTGCCCAAGAAGTGGGTATCAGTAGGCTTGGCGGAACCCCAAGATTTTGAGACACACAAAATGCCACAAGATTTTGAGATATATAAAAATGTTCAGAAAAATAGCCTGTAAGGGGTATAAATAAATTATTATTATTATTATTATTATTATTATTATTATTATTATAAAATGCAATACTGCATGCAACATTAAGTGGTATTTAAGACGCTGGAACAGAGAATATTTTAGACAAATTAGACAAGAACCACTCCTGCTATATACCCTCCAACATCTCTCTGATGAAAATAGGGACATCGTATTCCATCATCATCATCATCATTTTATTATGGATACCCTGCTCACCTGACTGGGTTGCTTCAGCCACTCTGGGCGGCTTCCAGCGTATAAAAGTAATAATAAAGTATTAAATTTTTTTTTAAAACTTCTCTATACAGAGCTGCTTTCAGATGCCTTCTAAAGGTTGTATAGCTGCTTATCTCCTTGGCTTGTGGGTTGCATAACTCGATAGACTCCAACGTTTCTCTGGTGATGATAGGAACATCTTAAGGAAAAGAGGGACATTCCAGAATCAAATCCGTCACTGGGACAGCTTCTGTGACTCTGGGACTGTCCCTGGAAAACAGAGACCTTTATAGGGTCTCCTGCTATGTTCCAAAGCCCTGCAAAAATAAATGGTTCTTAAGCTGTGGTCTGAATGAACGTAACATGGGGGCGAAATGAGATCTGTACTGGGAGGGAGTACCATAGATAGTCACTGATTAGGTCCTGCTTCTTCTACTGCCCCTCCCCAAATATATTCCTAGGAGACACAACAAGCAGGGCATCCCCTATAGATCTCAAAACCTGGGTGGGAAGGTACTTGGGAAGATGCTCTTTCAACTGTTTGGGTCACAAGTCATACAGGGCTTTCTGCGCCAGAACCTGAACCTTGAATTGGGCCTACCAGTGTAATGGAAGCCATTAGACAGAGTTATGTTGTGAATGATAGGTCTACGGTTGAGACTGGCTTGCCCAAGAGAACTTACAGTCCACAACTATGCATACTTATTTATTTATTTTACTTAATCATAAAAAACCCTCCAAGCAGTTTACATTAATCTTGGAAGGATATCCCACTGCTCTTGGTAGGACTTCACTGGCAAGTTTGTTTAGGACTGCAGCCACAGAGAGTTCTTCTAGCAGAGGCAGGATTCAAACCAGGGGCTTCATGATTTGCAGGCTCCGTCCCTCAAGCTGTATGCTATGCCAGGTCCTATTCAATGTTCCTTTGTCTTGACAAAACAAACAGTGCTTGGGAACCCTTCAACAGGAGACTTCATGAGGAAATAAACAAGCCCAAAGGCGAGTGGCAAAAAAAAAAAAGCAGGTTTAACGGAAGGTTATAAAATAACGCTGTGTAAACAGCAATGAAATTCTAAGCGAGTTAATGCCAAGGGGAGATAATTTGATGCCAAACAACAAAGCTCTTCTCTGTCTAGGTAAATATATTGAACACAAATATTATGGCAATGTGAAACAATGGATTTTATTTTTCAAGCAGATGGTGGAACCCTTGAGATGAAGGGTAATGCAAGGATAAAAACACTAAATGTGCTACAGCTTCACCTTCTATATACATAATTAAAAGTACAGGGGGTCTGATAGTCTTCCGTTGCATCTGAGCATCTTAGCTCCTCACCCCTTGCTTTTCGAGTCTGTAAAATCTCTGAAACATAAGGATGGTGTAATAGGAATTTTATGGTCCTAGATATATGGTAATGTTCATAAGTGTACCAACCAAGCACATACATAGATCAGCACAGGAAGGCCAACCTGGAACCATTTTGATTCCTAAACTGACCAAATGTTTTCTCTGCAAGGTCAAAGTGGAAAAGCCTCCCCATTGTCTTTTCCTTCACAAATCCTGTCTTAAGGGTGTTTGAATAAGGTGTGAGCCTGTGACATGGTCCAGGAACTAAGTATTTGTCACTACAAAGGAATGGCCAGGCTCCTCAGGCAATCCAATCAAGTAACCTGCCAGACAGGAGATAAACAAGGACAAGAGAAAAACAAGATTTAAATTTCTGTTTAGACCGCCTTTTTCTGTGATGTATGTTTCTGGGGGTGGTCTTGATCTACAGGAGGGGAATTTCAAAAGTCTTTATAAGGCTTTGCACACCATTTTTCTGGGTCCTCCTCCTCTCCTGCGTGTGAGGGGAGCACCCTGTTGCAACAGATCAGTAAAGTTCAAGCTTACTAGCTGCTTTGCTTCTCAATATTCTCTGGTTGGCCTCTGTTATTTTCTCCTACCAATAGGGAACCCACGTAAGGACTCTATATGGGCTCTTGGATACCCCATAAGGGAAAAGGGCAATTTTTTGTTTACAACAATGGAAAGCTGCCAGAAAGACACAGTCAACATGGCAGCAGAAAGACTGGGCTGGGAGTAGGGTTGGAGGAGAAAGTCAGTTCGGAAGGCATTTAAAGTCGAATCTAATAATATGCAAACCGAAACACAGCAATCCTTTGAAATTCACACTTATCTGAATTTTCCTGTGCATTTCCCCAACCAATGTTTACAAAAATGAGGAGAGTGTGTGCATAAAAATGAAGTCATTTGTGAAAAATAACATACAAAAATGCATTACATTAGGGGGATTTGCTAGCAGAAATGTGTACATTTGCCAAAACTGCATATAAAAATGTGCTTATCAGGAGAAATTCACACTAAAGTACCGATGGTCTTTCACAAGATATATTTTTTTTAATTACAACTTTCTGCAAAATGTGAAGAGCGGAATTTCAGATTGGAAAGAGTGGAAACCAGGAGAACGGAAATTGACAGATCCTTCCATGCCTAGCAGAGAGAACGGGGAGCTGAAGATGTACCAGTGAAGTCTGGTCACTGAGCCTCAGAGCCACACGAGGGGATGCAATACAAATTATCTGGAGAAAAGAAGACTTGTTACTGTTTGAAACAGAATCAAAATATATAAGGGTGGTCTTGCTGAAGATAGTTGTCTGTTTTTGCTACATAGATCTTAACAATTCATAGAAACTAAGCTATTCCCACCCATCCCCCCCCCAAACAGTACTCCCTCAATCTCATGCCATTTGAAGTCTGCTGATAGAGTCATTATAGACACAGGAAACAGGTAAGATATAATTGTGTGTTTGCCAGATGAATTGTAACAAGAGTGCAAACATTCGATGGAGGTTATGAATGCATGGAGAGATCAGAGATGTGCCAGTTGGCTTTCTCCAAATTTCCACTTGTACCAGGACCTATATCTATATATACCCTATATCAGGAGTAAAAGGTAAAGGTAAAGAACCCCTGGACGGTTAAGTCCAGTCAAAGGCAACTATGGGGTTGCGGCGCTCATCTTGCTTTCAGGTCGAGGGAGCCGGCGTTTGTCCACAGACAGCTTTCCGGGTCTTGTGGCCAGCAGGACTAAACTGCTTCTGGCGCAATGGAACACCATGACAGAAACCAGAACACACAGAAACACTGTTTACCTTCCCGCCGCAGCACTACCTATTTATCTACTTGCCTTGGTGTGCTTTCGAACTGCTAGGTTGGCCGGAGGTGGGACAGAGCAACAGGAGCTCACCCCGTCGCAGGGATTCAAACCACTGACCTTCTGATCAGCAAGCCCAAGAGGCTAAGTGATTTAAACCACAGCTCCACCTGTGTCATGAATAAAGCACACAATCACTGACAGGTCAACCTGCCATTGTGAGGCTCAAAGCAATGAAGACAGTGCCTCCCCAGCTGTTGCCATTGGCTGTGAGTTTCTTGTGATGTCACAAAAGCACTTGGCAACTGAGTGGCTATACAGACAGGCCAAGAGGAAAGCCCTTTTCTATTTCCAGCAGGACACACCTAGCAATAGATGTGACATTCAGCACTGCCCAGGTTTCTTCCACTTGGAGGAGGCAAACTGGTAAATGGAAGGAGGCAATCCTCTGGCAGTGGGATGCTAGGGAGCGATAATAAGGCAAGTTTGATTGTTTGAAGGCTGCTGGTATCCAGGGCTGGAAGCTGGTGGACGTCTCATGATGGACCTAACAGTAACTTCTGGCACAATGGGACACCATGACAGGAGCCAGAGTGCACAGAAATGCTGTTTACCTTCCTGTCACAGCGGTACCTATTTATCTACTTGCTTTCGAACTGCTAGGTTGGCAGGAGCTGGGACAGAGCAATGGGAGCTCACCCCATCACAGGGATTCAAACCGCCAACCTTCTGATCAGCAAGCCCAAGAGGCTCAGTGGTTTAGAGCACAGCGCCACCTGCGTCCCCATATATATGCCCTATATCTATCTGTCTATCCTCTCTCTCTCTCTCTCTCTCTCTCTCCTCTATCTATCTATCATCTATCTATCTATATCTATATCTATATCTATATCTATATCTATATCTATATCTATATCTATATCTATATCTATATCTATCTATCTATCTATCTATCTATCTATCTATCTATCTATCTATCTTCTATGCCCTAAATCAGGAGTAAGGAATCTCAGACTGTAAGGGGATGCAGTCCTTTAGACCTTTCTAAATACAGTGGTACCTTGGTTTACGAACTTAATCCATTCTGGAAGTCCGTTCTTAAACCAAAACCATTCTTAAACCGAGGCGCGCTTTCCCTAATGAGGCCTCCCGCCGCCGGTGCCCTTCCACCATTTGGATTCCATTCTTAGACTGAGGTAAAGTTCGCAAACCAGGACACTACTTCCGGTTTTGCAGAGTTCAGAAACCGAATCGTTCGTAAACAGGAACCGAAGTACCACTGTACTTGAAACTCTACCTGGGTCGTGCCCCTTCCTTGGGATGCATACCCTTTATGTTGGCACACCCTTCACCAGTGTTGTTCCCTGCTTCTCAAAGTCCTTTTGCCTGGCTGGAATGCATCTCGCTTGAGTAAGATTGCAAGATTTGTGCATAGAAACCATCGGCTTTTGCATGGCTGGACCGTAGCCAACTCAAAGGCATTGTTCCGTCCACATTTGCTTCTGGGCTCAGCTGCCACTCCCATGTGGCCCTTGGAACATTCTCCAGGTGGGAATGTGGCTCCCAGGAGGTGAAAAATGTTCCTCACCTCTGCCCTAGACCATTTATTGTATGGGTTGTAGATAAATGCCTCTGCACTTTTGAGCATGTGAGGGTCTTCTGGGCAAACGGAAGCTTAGATGCATGAGCTAAACTGAACATCTGCACACAGTTAGTGTGCTTGATATTAAGCATTTATTAACTCCAGGCTGGGCCTTTATCATCATCCCCTTACTAGTTGCTCAAAGCATTTGTGAGCATTGTTCTGGTTGTTTAGTCGTTTAGTCGTGTCCGACTCTTCGTGACCCCATGGACCAGAGCACGCCAGGCACTCCTGTCTTCCACTGCCTCCCACAGTTTGGTCAAACTCATGCTGGTAGCTTCAGGAACACTATCCAATCATCTCGTCCTCTGTCGTCCCCTTCTCCTTCTCCTTGTGCCCTCCATCTTTCCCAACATCAGGGTCTTTTCCAGGGAGTCTTCTCTTCTCATGAGGTGGCCAAAGTATTGGAGTCTCAGCTTCATGATCTGTCCTTCCAGTGAGCACTCAGGGCTGATTTCCTTAAGAATGGATAGGTTTGATCTTCTTGCAGTCCATGGGACTCTCAAGAGTCTCCTCCAGCACCATAATTCAAAAGCATCAATTCTTCGGTGATCAGCCTTCTTTATGGTCCAGCTTTCACTTCCATACATCACTACTGGGAAAACCATAGCTTTAACTATACGGACCTTTGTTGGCAAGGTGATGTCTCTGCTTTTTAAGATGCTGTCTAGGTTTGTCATTGCTTTTTCCCCAAGAAGCAGGCGTCTTTTAATTTCGTGGCTGCTGTCACCATCTGCAGTGATCATGGAGCCCAAGAAAGTAAAATCTCTCACTGCCTCCTTTTCTTCCCCTTCTATTTGTGAGCATACTGGGCTCCAAATTCTTACATCAAACCAAACATCAGTCTACTCATCATATACTCAATAGATGTGTGCTGTTGACCTCTGGCAGAACCTCACAAGACTTAATTTGATGCATTTACCAGTTTTAATATAATTGTAATGTTTTTGATTTTTATTTTCCTGTAATTCGTAACAGCCGAAATGCAATGATTTCATTTCTTGAAAGGTAGAAGAAAAGTCTGAAATCTTTATAATGGCTAAAATATGTAACTTTATGGTACAGTTTTAAAAACAATAATCATGAGATACCAAATATCCATGTGCCAGCCAGACAGTAAAATGCTAAATTATGAGCTTTTAGCCACAGAGAATGAAAACAGGAGATTTACTGTCTGGCTGAGAGATTTTCTCCTTGAGATAACTGCCAGGAGGGGGCGGGGAAACATTCTGAATGCATCTACTCCCCCCACCCTTAACTTTTAAAGATAAATGATGGACGGCATTTGGTCAGCTTAAGAATGTGGAAAGATCCGTCACCCCAGCACTGAAATGACATTTTAAATGAATTACATTGGAGGAATTGTGTAGATGTTTGTTTGTTTTTAAAGAATACCTCTCTGCTATGCTGAAGTCACATTTTTAACATGCTTCTCGGGCAATAGCTATATTTTTTAAAGGTAGCATGAAATCATAGATCAGCCGTAACAAAATGTGTTACAAAACAATGAGACTGACAGCTCTTCATTGTGTCTCTCAGTAACCAATGAGTTTACAGCAAGGAAGGATAAAATTCAAGGAGTAGCAATTTAGAAATTATGCTAAATCCTGGCAAATTGCTAACATTTCTTAATTGCTATATAAATCGTCAGAAGGGATGATTATGTTTAAATCCACTCATTAAGTACGTATGCATGCTGCTTAGGAATAATTATATTGTTCCAAATTCTCTTCCATTTATATGGTGTTTGAGAATTTTAAATACTAACCCCTCTGCCAGAAGACTATCATTTCATATATGATGTCCAAGATCTGCTCCTTAGACACTAAGATATGCAATTTCATGAGTTTCACAGTCAAATAAAACCAACAAAGAAGAACAGTGCTCATCTACATTTAATTTTAATGTAACCATTGGGACAAAAGGCATACTGATAATTAAGAGTCAAGATACTTTGCTGACTCAGTTGCCAATGATTTTCCAAAGTAGTACTGCATGAACTGTCTGCAACATTATCACCCTCTCTTTTGCCCACGGCACCACTAAATTTACTCTAGGGGTTCTGACTCTTTGAAGCACTTCTGGGGGTGACATGGGGCATGGACCGGGGGGGGGGATGGGAGACAAGAAAGGGAACTTTCCGTTGTGCAAGTGCAAATCTAACACAATGAGTGAATTTGATGCCGCGCTAGGTTTTCAAATATGCTTCCTATTTTTTTCTGAAATAAACTATAAACCACATGTTAACATCTGAACAACTTTCACAGTTGCAAATGTCCATTCTTTGTGTGGATCTGATATCAAACTGTTGTGTAGTGGTTCAGAGCGGTGGACTCGTAATCTGGTGAACCGGGTGGTTCACGTCTCTGCTCCTCCACATGCAGCTGCTAGGTGACCTTAGGCTAGTCACACTTCTCTGAAGTCTCTCGGCCTCACTCACCTCACAGAGTGTTTGTTGTGGGGGAGGAAGGGAAAGGAGATTGTTAGTCGCTTTGAGACTCCTTAGGGTAGGGATAAAGCGGGATATCAAATCCAAACTCCTCCTCCTCTTCTTCATTTACATGGGTAAGAGGTCCCATAGTGTTTGAATAGGGAAGTATGCAAAAAAACAAAACAAAACAATACCCTATACAGTGGTACCTCAGGTTACATACGCTTCAGGTTACAGACTCCGCTAACTCAGAAATAGTGCTTTAGGTTAAGAACTTTGCTTCAGGTTGAGAACAGAAATCGTGCTCCAGCAGTGCAGCAGCAGCAGGAGGCCCCATTAGCTAAAGTGGTGCTTCAGGTTAAGAACAGTTTCAGGTTAAGTATGGACCTCCAGAACGAATTAAGTACTTAACCCAAGGTACCACTGTACATAACACATCAGGTAAAGGCTGAGCCCTTTGTCTCTGACGGGAAGGAGTATTTTATGAGTATTTTTAAAAGTATTTGCTAGTAATATGGCATGTGGGAGTAATAATGTAGGAATTGTGGCATTAGCTTGAGGGATGCTGCCAACACATTGTTGTGTTGGTCAAACTAGTCAACACCAGTACTAGCAGCTGTGCAGAGTAAACATTTGGATTCTGCAACTTTTGTGTTTAGAAACCTAATCTTGGAGGGGGGGAGGTCCCCTCAACTTCCCCTTGGCTGTAACTTCCTTCTATTTTTTTAAAAATAGAAATAATCTCTGTATCTTTGTGCATGCAGTCTTGGACTGGGGAGGTGTAGCCTGGTGCATCCTATTTCACAACTGCTAAGAAGAACAACAAAAATCACATTTCAGGGTTAAGCTCCTCATGTTTTTCAAAGCTTTTCAGTGTCATTGAAGGTCTGCTTGCACAACAGAATCCTGCTCAAAGAAAGAGGAGTTCCCCTGCTTCTCCTTCCTCATGCATTACTTGCATGTCCCCAAAAAGCTTCTCTAGAGGAGGGCTAGGGCAGCCTCCAGAAAAACTGGGGGGTGGGAGGCTATTGGAGGGGGGAAGAGAGGAAGGGGAAGTCCCATTGCACCCAAACGTGTGATATTTGACAGTGATGGATTGCTTAAGGTAAATATATTTGCTTTGGGTGGTTTAAGCTTAAAATAAATCTTGACTTTAGAAAGAAGGAAGTACAGAGATAAACATGCCTCTGGTGCAGGATCTGACAGCACAAATAGAGTGAGATTGTGGGTTGAGTTGTATATATACTAAGCTGGATGCAGGATTGTGGCATCCTGACCCAACCTGTTATGTACTGAAGTTCTCACCCTGGGCCAGCAGGGGGATACTATAGATAGTTTTCACTCAGGTCCACATATGCAAATAAGGAATTGAAAGTGACGTTCAGTGATTGGATAGTTACAGAAAGTTGTTACTGTTGCATTGTAGTTGAGCTCTATATAAGCAGGCTGGCTGAACCCTTCAGCTCAGTTCTGTTCTGGCCTGTGAATAAAGAAGAGCTGTGTCATCTGATATGTTCACCCACAACTTAACAGAACCCACGTTTGCTGTGCAATCACTCAAGCATACTTTTATATGTTTTACATGTACAGTGGAACCTCAGTTTTTGAGCGTCTCAGAAGCCAAACATTTCGGAACCCGAACACCGAAAACCTGGAAGTAAATGCTTCCGTTTTCGAATGCGCCTCGGAAGTCAAACAGCTTCCACTGCGTGTTTTTCAATTTTCTCAATGGAAATTCTTCCGGAACGGATTACGTTCGACAGCTGAGGTTCTACTGTATACTTATAAATGATATTATATTTTTACTGTTTTGATTGTTAGCTATGAAGAAAAGACACCTATGCTCTTGTACTCTCCAAAATGCCAGGTACACTGATGCTACTATACAAGCAGACAAATAAAACTCATGAAGCTTTATGCTAGCACACTAAACCGGGACTGAGCATTGTGTTGTAAGTAGCCGAGGCGCTAAAACTCAGGCCTGATATTCTCAGTGCCAATAGTGTCATGTGAACAGGCTCTCAGATGCTTAGCCTACTGTTATTAATGGGACCTGTCCAAAACACCAGAGGCTTAACATGGTTTAAGGGCTTTCTATTGACCCTCAACTCTGTTCCAAACATTCTGTCCTGTAGCCTCTGGTACTATGGGAAAAGATCAATAGGAACTAAAAATACTTCCTCCCTTTTTGTCTCAGAATAAACTGCTAAATTTTTATTAGTATTTAATTTTGAATACATATCTCTAACACTACTAAAATAAAAAGTCGTAATGTTTAATTTTGTTATGACTATATTGAGGAGAAATCAAATTTCTGAGCAGTATGAGATCCCAGCTCTGCATGTAAGCCAGTAATTGTTCAACAGGCAGGGATGAAAAGGGTGACGAAATCATCTGCTCCCCATTCCCAATAATTTATCAGAGCTATTCAGACTTTGCAGGACAGTACATGTACTGATTGGCTAGTGATCAGGTAGGAAGGGAGAAGTCAGTGTGGAAGCCATTTGTGTGCAAGATTCCTTATTTAGCTAGGAAGATACTCATATTTTATTCCAGTTCCCTGCTGTTTCCCTAACTGTTAATTTCAGCATTGTATTTGAGATTCACACAATGTCCATGCCACTTTTAGGAAACTAATGGAATATACTGCATTTTTAGCACTCATTTTCATGTTATTGGATTTTGTGGGGCTGTGGCGGCAGGGAATCCTTTTGTAGTCCCCTCAACCTGGAAAGGGACATGGGTGGCGCTGTGGGTTAAACCACAGAGCCTAGGACTTGCTGATCAGAAGGTTGGCAGTTCGAATCCCTGCGATGGGGTGAGCTCCCGTTGCTCTGTCCCTGCTCCTGTCAACATAGCAGTTAGAAAGCATGTCAAAGCGCAAGCAGATAAATAGATACCGCTTTGGCAGGAAGGTAAACGGCATTTTCATGCGCTGGTCTGGTTCACCAGAAGCGGCTTAGTCATGCTGGCCACATGACCCGGAAGCTGTACGCCTTTTGCGTTATAATTACATTTCCGTGCACCTAATGAGGTCTGCAAAAGCTTTCTTGCTTTCATCTTTTCCCATCCTTCCTACAGTGATAAGACTCCATTGTGTCATTTTCCTGTCACTTACGCATGTGATTTTGCTGTGCATTTTGGCTTTCCAGCACGAAGGCAAGACATAACTGAGTTTAGTATCTTAGTAATGTAGAAAGTGGCAGAAGGGGGGGGGGAGAGATCTGATTTAAGGGGAAACTCGTGTCAGTAAGGAGTGTGGAAACCTGACTAATCACCTGCAGCTCCTCTCCCAGTTAACTTGCCTTAATTGCATTTTGAGATTTGGGGAGAGAGATTATGAATCACTGGACCCAAGTTCAGTAAAGAGGCTTTCAGCTTGCAGACTCACTAATGAAGCTTTGCAAAAATTTCCGGGGAGGTAGGCATTATTCCAGTATTACACATGAATAATCTGAAGTCCTGAGAGCTTAAGTATGATCTCAAAGCAATTGGAGTGGCATGCCGAGACCAGAAGTCACACACACATCCTTTCTGAAACTGCACAGAATTGCAAACACAAGCTGCATGAACCAGATTGGCAAACATGTTATCTGGAGGGGAGGTGGAGAAATGAGCTAAAAAACGCCACTGTGCCAACAGTCTGATCCACAACCGGAACTAGAAATCAGCTGTCTGTGGTAACTCAGACTGATTCATAGCCATGCATGTTGCTTGCTTACTCTTGGTGATGGTAGTTCAATTGAGCCTTGGGAATTAATTAGCTAGGTGCAAATTAATTGGTTCACAAACAATGGCCTCTTCAGAATTTGAATATGTGTTTCCCCTGCATTTATTTGCTATAGTGGCATCCTCTTTTATTGGAGCTTGGACAAATAGCTGTTTGTCTGCCTGTGACTAATGCAAATCTTAACATTTGTCTTAAGCAAAATATAATAATCTGCTTGTTTCAGACAGAATTTGCGGCTGGGTGCTCTGAACTTATGCAAGCTTCACTCCATTAAGTCTGGATGCTTGGAGACTGCAGCAGAAGGTTCAGCAGGAAGGATCCAATAAGGAAAACAAATATTTATTTTTTGCAAGAGTGACCATAAAAAGGAGGCGGGGAGGGAGAAAAGGATTTGGCACAACATTCTTCCATTTAATCTCCCCGGCCAAATCCTCCACTGGCTGATAAGAACTTTGTTGGCTTGTAATACTGGCTTGTAATACTGCAGCTTTTTGAAATTTGAATGTGTATGATTCAATCATGTATCACACACACATCTGTTCAACCCTAGGATTCACTACCTAAAGTGATGGCATCAAATTTGCAGATGACACCAAACTGGGAGGGGTAGCTAATGGCGCAGAAGACAGAATCAGAATTCAAAATGACCTTAACAGATTGGGCGCAAGCTAACAAAATGAATTTCAGTACAGACAAATGTAAGGTTCTGCACTTAGGCAGGAAGAACCAGATGCACAAGTATAGGATGGGGGACACCTGGCTAACTAGCAGTACATGTGAAAAGGATCTAGAGGTCTCGGTGGACCACAAGCTGAACATGAGTCAACACCAGCAAAAAAAGCAGCAAATAAGCTAATGCTATTCTAGGTTGCATCAACAGAAGTATAGTGTCCAGATCAAGGGAAGTAATAGTACTGCTCTATTCTGCCTTAGACCACACCTGGAATACTGTATTCAATTCTGGGCACCATGATTTAGGAAGGGTGCTGACAAGCTGGAACATGTACAGAGGAGGGCAACCAAGATGATCAAGGGTCTGGAAACTAAGCCTTATGAGGAACGCTTGAAGGAGTTGGGTACGTTTAGACTGAAAAGGAGGAGACGGAGAGGAGATATGATCGCCATCTTCAAATATCTTAAGGGCTGTCACATGGAGGAGGGAGCATGCTTGTTTTCTCCTGCTCTGGGGCCTAGGACTCGAACCAATGGCTTCAAGTTGCAAGAAAGGAGATTCCAACTAAACATTTGGAAAAACTCTGACAGTAAAAGCTGTTCAGCAGTGGAACAGCCTCCCACAAGAGATGGTGGACTCTTCTTCTCTGCAGATTTTTCAAACAGAGGTTGGATGGCCTTCTGTCATGGATGCTTTAGCTGAGATTCCTGCATTGCAGGGGGTTAGACTAGATGACCCTTGGGTCCCTTCCAACTCTAAGAGTCTATGATTTTATGAAATATGAAATGTGTTAAGGAGTCCTCACTCTCTTCCCATTTTTTTAAAATTGGGGGGGGGGGTTTCAAGTAAAAGCTGCAAATACTTTGCAAGCATTTATTTATTTTCACTTATGCCCCATGTTGCTTAAACAGGAGCGCAAAGAGGTGAACACGGCAACTCTCCCCAGAGGCCATTTTTCTTCCGAACAACCTGGTGAGGTGGGTTAAGGCAGAGACGGCAAGTCTTCAAGGTTACTCAGTGAGCTACAAGGCCAAGTAAGGATACAAACTTGAGTCTGCCCAGTCCTAACCCAACACTCTAACCACCGCAGTGTCTCAAAAACCCATCACTCATCCACACATAAGATTGTACGACTTCAAAATGCACGTGAACGATTAGATATTTAAATATATCTTCATGACAACACCTCTCTGCTTGTAGAGGGATGGTGCAGTTGGAAAAAAGCTTAATTGTTTTTTAAAATGGTAGATTCTCATTTCTACATGATCTCTATCCATGCATTCTGAGGTGGTAGAGGCCTGTGAGGATTGCAAAGGCTGGTGAGGATTATATCATGTGCCAACATCTGAGCTGGGTCTAATTAAGGTCACTGCGAGGAGGTGCCTGCCATTAGCTCATGATGTTGTGAGTATTTGCCGGAAGTTTCCCCAGCAACCATGTTTGGGCTGGAGGGCATGCCTCCTCTCCTAGCATGCACAGATAAAACAGAAACACTGAGAGGATGGCGTGGGATTGAGGATGAGAGAGGGGGCAGCTAAGGATACAGCTGTAGGAAAAGCCCCATTGTGTCTGGCGTTTTCAGCCGTCAGGCTCAGACAGGCAAGGAGGAGGGTGGCTCCAACTGTATCAAAGCTGCAGGCAGTGCAGTGTTGACAGACTAAGAAAGAATGCACTCAGCGTATTTTTACTTTTAATTTTTCTTATTCTACTTGTTGCATTCTCAATGTATTTTTAATTCTAATTTTCCTTATTCTACTTGTTGCATTCTCAACATATTTTTAATTTTAATTTTCCTTATTCTACTTCTTGCATTCTCAGTGTATTTTTAAGTGTAATTTTCCTCATTCTAGTTGTCAATTCAGTGCGATTCTGTTACTATTGATTTTGACAGCTCGATGACTAAGCTCTATAGCGTCAAAAAGTCAGATTACCGGAACAACGTCCGAGCACTGAACCACTGGTATATCACAAGTGGACCCTTTATTACTGCGTTTGCAATTGTTCAAGAAATAATCCATTTTGGAACGAGAAGAAATGAGCACTGAACCACTGATACATATATTACAATCGAATACTGTGTTTGCTATCGTTTTGGTCACTGCACACGTTATGATGCTATATACTCAAGGGCAATATCTTTCATGGATTGCAGAGTTATTTGGGTAATTAAAATAATATCCCTACAAAATAGGTGACCTGTTTGTAAAAGGCATAACTCCGTGTAAAAATGGGAAGTTTAGACTAATAGGTTTTCCATGAACAGTTCATGCTTCAGAAGGCCTGTTCTAAGTTCACCATGCTTGCACAGGTAAATCAAGTTTCCTTTCACATACATTTCTCAAAGACCATTTCGGTCTGATAATAATAAGAATAATGTCATTGTAGCAGGTATTTGTTGTTTCCATTTGCTTCATGTGATGGTCCAAATATTGCCAGCATTGTGCTTGGAAGAGAGATAAAGGGGCAAATTATGTAGAGGTATTACAGGTCGGATAGAGGATTTCCATGGAAGTGAGCCATTTCCTCTGAAACACAAAGTCTTTATTTACCCAAAGCTTCTCCAGGACTTACTTGGGCTAGTTATTTTCCAGAGCTGTTGGTTAAGAATGAATGAAACCTCTTCAACAATACAGCTCATAGCTGAACGATATCCCCATGGTCTGCTTAGTCCAAGCTCAGATGCTCAAGTAGAGAATTCTACATCTAAACCATGGGTAGGCAAACTAAGGCCTGGGGGCCAGATCCGGCCCAATCACCTTCTAAATCCGGCCCATGGACGGTCCAGGAATCAGCGTGTTTTTACATGAATAGAATGTTCCCTTTTATTTTAAATGCCTCTCTGGGTTATTTGTGGGGCCTGCCTGGTGTTTTTACATGAATAGAATGTGTGCTTTTATTTAAAATGCATCTCTGGGTTATTTGTAGAGCATAGAAATTCGTTCATCCCCCCCCCAAAAAAAAAATATAGTCCGCCCCCCCCACACATGGTCTGAGGGATAATGGACCAGTCCCCTGCTGAAAAAGTTTGCTGACCCCTGATCTAAAGCATCTCTGTCCAGTGAAACTCATCCAAATCATTGATGCAATCTCTTGCATCCCTAGTGGATAGTCCCTTTTCCGTTGTCTTTTCCACAGTACCTGTTTCTTCCCCCTTTCCCCACCATTTCTTCCTTTCCAACTGTTTGTTTATTTGCCCAAACTTTGTTTTCAGCGCCTAAAAAATATAAACAGTAGGGGATGGAGTCCGCTAATGAGTACTGCTAGTGGGAGCCTATACAAATACTTCTTATAATGCAATGGGGTTCTTTGCCCCTCTCCTTTCCATTGCGCACCCCAAATTGGTCACGAGAACCCCCAGAAAATCACATTACGTAAGAAAGGGGGAGCAGAGCGACTTACACTGACGGAATGTTTGTCATAGCGCTGCGTTGAAAACTTCCTTTAGTTTCATGACATATTAAATGGAAAAAATCCACACACAACCTCAACCAAGAAATCATGTTTTGATGGGGAAACGATCCAGAAATCTGCTTTTGTTTGTATATGTTCATAATGTGCCAGAGGGGTAATAAGCTGTACGATCCCCATCCAAACTTCTTCCATTAGGGAAAAAAGACTATCAAAATTCTCACATGAGCTTGTTGCTGCCCCCTTCCTGACTTGTCTTCTCCATCCCTTAGTTTTCACCCCACGCAGAAAGTTCTGTGCCAACATTCCTGGTAACTCCTATGCAGATCACAGGATCTTAGGACTATGCCAACACGTTGGTGTGGAGGCCACAGATTAGTCAATCTTTCCCCCATTCAGTAAGGCCCTTGTCTATACTACTGTTGTCTATTCAGACAATCCAGTGTTGATGTTAGTTAGGCACCAGCAGATATAAATGGATGCAAACGGCAAAATAAAAATTGCATTGGGTTGGTTTTCCTTTCTTTCAACTATCGGTAGTAGTAGTAGTAGTTACTAATAATAATATAACTCATTGGTATAAATATTGCATATGAAACATTGCAACTGTCACATGTATCCTTTTATCTTATCTTTTTATGTGTTGTTGTCTGCTATATTGCCTGCTCTTGGTTTCATGGTACGGAAAAGGTAAGGTAAGGTGGGACACAGGTGGCACTGTGGTCTAAACTACCTTGGGCTCGCCAATCAGAAGGTTGGCAGTTCGAATCCCCATGATGGGGTGAGCTCCCGTTGCTCTGTCCCAGCTTCTGCCAACCTAGAAGTTCGAAAGCACACCAGTGCAAGTAGATAAATAGGTACCGCTGCAGCGGGAAGGTAAACAGTGTTTCCGGGCACTCTGGTTTCCGTCACAGTGTCCCGTTGCACCAGAAGCGGTTTAGTCCTGCTGGCCACATGACCCGCAAAGCTGTCTGTGGACAAACGTTGGCTCCCTCAGCCTGAAAGTGAGATGAGCGCTGCAACCCCATAGTCGCCTTTGACTGGACTTAACCTTCCAGAGGTCCTTAACCTTTCAACTTTCATGGTAAGGATAAAAAAATGAATGCAATATTCTCAAAATAGCTTTTTTTAAAAAAAGAATCCATCACATTCTTTGCCTATGCATCTCCTATGGGTTGTCTGCCTGTTCCCATTCAGCAAAAATAAAATGTAACTATGTTTGCATCAAATACAAATGCCATTTAAGCTGAAATCTGATACTCAATTACCTGGGAGTAAGCTTCATGGAGCTCAACAGGGCTAACTTTTGCACGATCCCACTGTGAGTAAATTTAGCCGCATAAGTGAATTCTGCACAAAACATTAATCTGTAGTGAGCTTTCCGCTGCTACTGGGAAATAAGCTTAGATTTATTAGGGTATTTTCCATGTCTGACATCCAGAATTCTTGCGATTCTCCAGCCAGCTAATATCGGTATAGAATGCTACCAGGGAAACATTATTTTGAACAAAAGAATGCTTAATGCTGCTTTCACATCTGAATATTCTAACTGAGAATACCCAACTTCAAACAAAGTTGTTCTCACTAGATCTGCTTTTCTTTTTAAAACACAATAGGCAATGCATTTTTGGGCAATTATTGCATGCCTGGGATGATGTTTAACCACCCAGCAAGGACAATAATCCTCTAGAAATGCCCCAGCTGAAATATCCTGTGGCTTTCATAGAGCCGAGTTTGCAAAGAAACATAAGGAAAACAATCTAAATGGGCACTGACCTAAATAGAATACTTCCACCAGCCAGTCTGTAAAGCTCCCCATAAGACCAGTACCACATTGTCATTACATAAACAGGCATTTTCAACATTCTTACTTGTCCGCGATAATGCCGCGCAAAAGCCAAATTTGACACAGAGAAAAAAACAGGGCACCTGAGCTGCTATGATATACACTGGCAGCTTGGTTTATGAACTTAATCCGTTCCGGAAGTCCGTTCTTAAACCGAATCTGTTCTTAAACCGAGGCACACTTTCCCTAATGTGGCCTCCCGCCGCCGGTGCCCTTCTACCGTTCAGTTTCCATTTGTAGACTAAGGTAAAGTCATCCACGCGATGGTCACCTCCAGGCTTGATTATTATAACTCGCTCTACGCCCTTGAAGCTGACCCAGAAACTCCAGCGGTTGCAGAATGCCGCAGCGAGGCTCCTTACAGGGTCCTTGCCGTGGGATCACATTCATCCAGTGCTTTACCAACTGCACAGGCTCCCGGTGGAGTACAGGGTCAGGTTTAAGGTGCTGGTTTTGACTTTTAAAGCTCTATGCGGCCTAGGACCCACGTACCTATGGGACTGCTTCTCCTGGTATGCCCTGCAGAGGACCTTAAGGTCTACAAATGACAACACCTTGGAGGTTCCAAGTCGCAGGGTGGTTAGATTGGTCTCAACTAGGACCAGGGCCTTTTCAGTACTGGCCCCAACTTGGTGGAACGCTCTGTCACAAGAGACCAGGGCCCTGCGGGACTTGACATCTTTCTGCAGGGCCTGCAAGACAGAGCTGTTCCGCATGTCCTTTGGTTTGGACTCAGTCTGTTGTTGTTTTTTAAATAATGTTTATTACTTTTATAGATTACAAAAAGAGAGAAAAAAAACAATAAAGGAAAAAACAGAAAAAAACAAAAAGAAGAAAACAAACAAACAAACAAACAAACACCATACAATACAATATATAAACAATACAGAACACAACCTAAACTCAAAACTAAACACATTAAGCTAAACTAAACAAACCCCACTCCCCAAAAACAAAAACAATTTAAAAACATACATCCTCTCTTTTCCATACTCTATCTTTCGTTCCCTTGTTTCTTCGACCTCCTCACACCTCCCTTTTTGTGTTCCGCTTCTATTAATTGTTTCAGCAAATCCTTTCCATCTTTCTCCATTTTCTGTGATATTGTAAATAACGTATTATTTTAACCTTATTTTCCATTAAAAACTAAATTACTTATATATGCTTAACTCCTTATAACATTTCTATTAAGCCCATGAAAAATAAAAAAATCAAAAATCAAAAATCATTCCACCATTTTTCTATCACTCATTAATTTTACCATTAGTCTATATAAAAACTTTAAATTTTCCAATCTTCTTCCACCATCTCTTCTCCCAGGTTTCGGATTCTGCCAGTCCTTTCCATCAATTCCATAAAGTCCATCAACCTGGTGATCTCACGTCCGAGGCTCTTAACTCTTTTCCAAGTCCCTTCTGCAGGTCTTCTTCATTTTCTTTAATGCTAAGGAGCCAATCTCGGGAAAATTCCAACCTGTCAATCCTTTTCTTCCTTCTGAACAAATCAGCTGAGTTTCCATAGTTAAAACCACAGTCCATAAAGTATTTCCGGGTATATTTCAAAATTCCTCCAATTCCAAAGGCCCCCAAAACTTCAATCTCCTCCAGGCCCAAGTCCATGTCCCAAAAGTCAATTAATCCCTGCATAGAAGGCTCTTTCCAACTTTCCTTCTTTAATCCAAACCAGGATCCATTCCTCAGAGTCTGGCTTTTCCTGGATTCAATCATAGAAGGCCTCAATTTATAATCTCCAATTTGTTTCTGTAAATCCACAGATCTCACTTGTATTATTTTATGTTGAACAACAGCTGCATTCTCCTTCTCCTTCTCCTTCTCCTCCTTCTCCTCCACCATTTGTCCTGCCAAAATGGGTTCCTGTACCAAGTCCTGAATTATTTCTGTGTTAGTGTTCGCTTTTTGACTCAAGTCGGTCACTTTCTGTTCCAAATTATCACCTTTGAGAGTCATATCATCCATCTTCTTGTGAAGCTGTCCCAGCGAGCAGCTTATCTTACATAAAACAGTCACAATGGCCTCTCCTATCAACATTTTTAAATAGCCCAAGGTCACTCTCTGGTTCCCAAACTCCTTTTCTGCAGCTAGAGATTCCCCAGTTACAGTTTCAAAAGCTCCCTCTAGAGGGAAACAGTCTCCACTTGTATCAGTTCTTTCAAGCGCAATTTCAAACATTAAAGATGAATTTCAGTTACTTTTCCTCTTTTTTAAAAAAATGCAGAAAGGGACAATGGAAACAGTATCTTACTCTTGTTTAGCTAGCTGTCAAATCCGTTCTGTCAAAAGCACTCTCTTCAAACGTCATCTGGCAGCCCGTTCCCAGGTTCAGAGCAGTGGTAATCTGATTTTTTCACTCTCTCCTGCAGGCTCACTAGATCCAAAATTTCCCCCTCTTCTCCTGCTTCCCAAGGGGGTTTTGTAACTTTAAACCGGTAGAAATTTAATCCATTACCAAAAGCTTCCAAAGGCTTTACTTGTAACGTCTTTGCTTCAGTCTATTTACAAAAACAGAAGGCAGACTTCCTGTTTGTGACCTCCCGCTTCAGTGCCGAATTAAAGTATTTAAAAATCCAATTTTCCGATTTACTCACGAGTAGTTGTTTGAAATCCAAATGTCCACAGGAAAAAGTTAGCGCTCTCCGGCAACAGCAATGCGGCTTCACTCCGTGAAAAAAGCAGTCGATTCAAAGCACCGCGCCACTCACCCCACGTCGCTCCGGATCCCCAAAACAGGGTTTCCCCGCGAGTAGGGGAGGCGCAAAGGTGCCAGCCGAATCCCACGTCCACAGGCTTCTCCCGCCTGTGGTTTTTAATGGGTCTCCGCCTCGCTGTGGTGGTTCAGACCCTGTTTTTCGCAGAGCGGGTTCCTCCCGACCGGAGGAAATCCGCCATTGCCAGAGGCGCCAACCCGGAAGTCGGTTTGGACTCAGTCTGACCCTCATGTCTTCCCTCCCCTTACAGATTTGATCTATGGGCTACTTTTAAAATGAGGCTGCATTTTTAAATTGCATTTTAACCTGTATTTTAAATTGGTTCCCACCCTCCCCTATTATGTTTCTATTGTAATTTTACTGGTGTTAGCCGCCCTGAGCCCGGCTCTGGCTGGGGACGGCAGGGTATAAATAACATTTATTTTTATTATTATCACTACGTAAACCGAATCGTTCGTAAACAGGACTGTTCTTAAACCGAGGTACCACTGTACTAGATCCTAGGGGAAGATTACAGCAAATAGTATAATGGTATATTATGATCAGACATGGTGTGAATATCTGGATGTCACAGGAGTGGAATAAATTAATTTCATGGGTGCCACAATGGTCAAGTGACAATGTGGGGTGGGGGTAGGGTTCTTTCTTCTATTTTATATTATATTTGCATTTTCAAAAACAGGAGCAGAGAGCATATTAAACCCCCCAGTCCCTGTCCCTGTCCCACTGAGAACTTCATACCAAATACAACATGTATACGTATACCTTATGATTTCCCTTCCACCCTTTTCCTGGTTCCTTTCCTTTTCTACGACTCCGCGTAATCCACATCTTTTTAAACATCCAATTTGTTATCTATTAAAAACTCTATTTCAACTCTGCTGGATTTACTTGTGACCTGCTAAACTATGTATTTGTCTATACTGGTACTTAAAATATTCAATAAACATTGTCCATTCTTCCTTGTATCCCTTATCTTTGTTTTCTCTTATCCTGTCCAGCAGACCAACCAGTGCAGCATACAGTGGTACCTCGGTTCCCAAACGCGGAAAACCCGGAAGTGTTCCAGTTTTTGAACGTTTTTTGGAAGCTGAACATCCGATGCGGGTGTCGGCTATTGTTTCCAGGGCGCCTGCACCAATCAGAAGCTGTGCCTTGATTTTGAACATTTCGGAACTCAAACAGACTTCGGATTAAGTTTGGCACTTTTGTTTTTGCTATTTATTTTGTGTTCTTGTTTTTGAGGCTTTTTCGGTTAAGTTGTTTTTGTGACTGTGTGGAACCCAGTTCAGCTATTGATTGATTGATTGATTGATTGATTGTGTGACTGCAGAAATGGATAAAAGCCTCCCATCCAAACAATGACTATCATCAGTGCAGGTAAGAAGAAAAAAATAATTTTAATTTTGATCATCTACAATACTGTCATATTTATTTTATAGTACAGTACATTATTGCTTTCATTTTATGGATCAATGGTCTTGGCAGATAGTAAAATTCATGTTAAATTGCTGTTTTAGGGGTTGTTTTTAAAAGCCTGGAATGGATTAATCCATTTTGCATTACTTTCTGTGGGAAAGCGTGCCTTGGTTTTGGAACTTTTGTTTTGGAACAGACTTCCGGAACGGGTAAGTTTGAGAAGCAAGGTACCACTGTATTCAAACATTTTACACTGCCATTCTTTCTTGGTGGGTACTATACTTGTTCTCTACCTTTGTGCCAATAAGCTTCCCGCTGAAGCAGTGGTGTACAGTAATAAACTCTATTGTTTTTTGGGGGGGACCTCTGTTGTTACCATCCCCAAGTGGAAAATCTCAGGTGTTTGGGGGAAAGCTTTTTTAAGTATCTTTTAAAATTCACAATATATAAAGGTAAAGGGACCCCTGACCATTAGGTCCAGTTGTGGCTGACTCCGGGGTTGCGGCGCTCATCTCACTTTATTGGCCGAGGGAGCCGGCATACAGATGACTGAGCCGCTTCTGGCGAACCAGAGCAGCACACGGAAATGCCGTTTACCTTCCCGCCAGAGCGGTACCTATTTATCTACTTGCACTTTGACGAGCTTTCAAACTGCTAGGTTGGCAGGAGCAGGGACCGAGCAACGGGAGCTCACCCCGTCGCGGGGATTCGAACCACTGACCTTCTGATTGGCAAGTCCTAGGCTCTGTGGTTTAACCCACAGCGCCACCCACGTCCCTAATCATAATATATAGTTTCCCAATATTCCTGAATTATTTTACAGGACCACCACATGTGGAAAAAAGATCTGGTGGGCGTAGGGTTCTGGCATCCTGCATACAGGAAGAAAGGAGTGAGGGATGTGTCTAGAGGCAAGAGCAGGCAGAGAAATGAACGCAAATTTTGCCTTTGTATAGTAGCGTAATTTCCATGCACAGACACTCTCGCCTCCATCCCTCCAAGCAAGCAGGAGTCCTTATCAGAGATGAAAAACACATTCCAGCCAGGCAAAAACACTCAAAGGGTATGAAACACAGGAGGTGGTGACAGGGGCAGGCTAGAGAGAGCCCCCAAGGCCAAACTTAAAGACCTGAAGTCCTGAGGTCGCCAACTCTGATCTGACATTATGAACTTGACTTGCAACACACACAAAACTTGATTTTCCTGCCCTAACACAAACTTTCCGTTAGAATGTTTAAATCCAACAATGGTTTTACTCTTTTGGTGTACGTGGGCCAAGCACCTGCTCTTTTTTTAATAAGAATTATTATTAATTTTTCAATTACAATCCAATAATACCCTCATTTTAACAATACATAATTGTAATACAATTACTAATAGCAATCATTCAAATACTGAATTTAGGTGGCTCCCTGCGTGTTAGATTTGATGGTTTGATGATTTTCTTTATTTCTGCGTTCCAAAATCTTACTAATTTCAATTATATTCCGGTCAAAATAATAATCCCTTATACAACAACTGCAATATTAATAACTTTCGTTCATGCTGACACATTAAATGGTTTCTAGAACTACAAGTGAGGCACTCAAGCTATATTCTTGTTCTTCTAGCACGTGGGCCAAGCAATACCTCTTAAGAATAATTTCTGTCTGGGGGATTATTATCATTATTATTATTATTAATTGAATTTATATTCTGCTCTATACCTGGAGGTCTCAGGGTGGTCCGCAGAACAAAATCAAAATATAAAACCACAAAATTTATAATCACAATAAAATCAATAACCCAAGAATGTTCCCCCCAAACCCCCACATTTCACCTTTCTGATATTCTAGGCACAATTCTTTATATGGGGGGAAGTGAGATTCTTCTGCCAAATAGCATATAGCTACAACAACCGCCATCACTATGTAGATTACAGTTGCACATGACAGTCTCATGCAACCCTTGTACAGTGGTACCTCGGGTTAAATACTTAATTCATTCTGGAGGTCCGTTCTTAACCTGAAACAGTTCTTAACCTGAGGTACCACTTTAGCTAATGGGGCCTCCTGCTGCTGCCGCTGCGCCGCCGCTGCACAATTTCTGTTCTCATCCTGAAGCAAAGTTCTTAACCCGAGGTAATATTTCTGGGTCTGTAACCTGAAGCGTCTGTAACCTGAAGCGTCTGTAACCCGAGGTACCACTGTATATTGGCTGTGATGTGCAAAGTTACGAGAGACACAACTCTCTCTCTCTCTCTCTCTCTCTCTCTCTTTCTTTCTTTGATTGCTGGCGAGACGTTCCTTTAAACTTTCTTCTATATGTCGCTGACGCCAGCCGTGGAAAATCCCTGCCTCTGAAAGGAATGTCTTGTAAAGTGCTTGACGTATGAAAACAGGAAATAAAATTATAAGAAATATTTCTGCAAGGTATGCAGTATGGTATCTAAAAGGACCATTTCACTTGCAAGTTTGTCAAACCTTTCTTAGTTCAATACATTGCTTCTAGTTTAAACAGCATATTCTTCAAATTTATCATGCAACAACCATGCAACATCTCACGCACAATGTTATCAGAGCACGTTTATAATATTTCCAAAGCCATACATACAATCAGAACAGATGCTGGAAATCTAAATTAAGAGCATTTTTCTCATAGGAAACGGGTGTGCTTCTTCATCCTCACCAAAATACCGTCTGAGGAGCTCTAATTGGAAGTAGCACGGAACTTAGATTTTAATATAAAATGCTACTGCCCATCTTGAAGTAGCTCTTTTCTATGAATAGATGACAAAACTACATTTTTAAGGACAAAATTTAAGGGTAAGTAGCAATAGTCCTTATTGCTATGTTTCCAACATACTGTTCCAAAGCCAAATGGCTTGCACGTTCCTTCCATCCAATTTGCTATTTGCATATTTAGGGTTAAGGTATAAAGAAATTTAGAGGATTTTTTTTTGCTGTTTTGATGTAGAGAATAACTGCCACAAGGTAAACGGTAAAGGTAAAAGACCCCTGGACGGTAAGTCCAGTCAAAGGCAACTATGGGGTTGTGGCACTCATCTCGCTTTCAGGCCAAGGGAGCTGGTATTTGTCCACAGACAGCTTTCTGGATCATGTGGCCAGCAGGACTAAACCGCTTCTGGTGCAACGGGACACCGTAATGGAAACCAGATCGCACGAAAACATTGTTTACCTTCCCGCTGCAGCAGTACCTATTTATCTACTTGCACTGGCGTGCTTTCGAACTGCTAGGTGGGCAGGAGCTGGGACAGAGCAACGAGAGCTCACCACATCGTGGGGATTCAAACCGCTGACCTTCTGAGCAGCAAGACCAAGAGGCTTGGTGGTTTAGACCGCAGCTCCACCTGTGTCCCAAATAAACAAGCACACAATCACTGATAGGTCCCCCCGCCATTGTGAGGCTCAAAGCAATGAAGATGATGCCTCCCCAGCTGTTGCCATTGGCTGTGGGTTTCTTGTGATGTCACAAAAGCACTTGGCAACTGAGTGGATATAAAGGCAGGCCAAGGGGAAAGCCCTTTTCTGTTTCCAGAAGGACACACCTGGCAATGGATGTGACCTTCAGCACGGCCCAGGTTTCTTTCACTTGGAGGAGGCAAAGTGGTGAATGGAAGGAGGCAATCCTCTGGCAGTGGGATGCTAGGGAGCGATAATAAGGCAAGTTTGCTTGCTTGAAGGCTGCTGGCATCCATGGTTGGAAGCTGGCGGACGTCTCATGATGGACCTAAGAGTAGCTTCTGGCACAATGGGGCACCATGACAGAAGCCAGAGTGCACAGAAATGCTGTTTACCTTCCTGCCACAGCAGTACCTATTTATCTACTTGCACTGGCGTGCTTTCGAACTGCTAGGTTGGCAGGAGCTGGGACATAGCCACGGGAGCTCACCCCGCCATGCAGATTCGAACTGCCAAACTTCTGATCGGCAAACCCAAGAGGCTCAGTGGTTTAGACCACAGTGCCACCCGCTCTCAGCTGGTTCTGAATACCAGTTGCTGCAAACCATAGCAAAGGAAAAAGCTCTTGGATTCGGGTCCTGCTGGTGTGCTTCCACTATAACAACAAGATGGGCTATTTGAGTGATCCAGCAGACTCTTCTTACGTTCTCTAGAACCTTTGCACGGGTTTCTGTGGTGAGGTACACAGAGGGCTCTGAGCACTTAGGAAAACCGCCTTATAACTGGGCATTAAAGTTTTGGCAGTTTCCCCTCCCAGGTGTCCAGCTTGCATTAGATGCCATTATGAAGGGTCTGGTTTTGGGAAGTGAGTGCAGCAAGGGGTGGTGTTCAAGACTCCCAGTACAGAAAGCTTCCCACTCTGATCTCCAGGTGTAAGAAAGATCTGGCTTGGGAAGAGTCTTGAAAGCTGAATTGAGGGGCCTGATGCAGATGGTAATACAGTGGTACCTCGGGTTAAGTACTTAATTCATTCCAGAGGTCCGTACTTAACCTGAAACTGTTCTTAACCTGAAGCACCACTTTAGCTAATGGGGCCTCCTGCTGCCGCCGCACCGCTGCTGCGCGATTTCTGTTCTCCTCCTGAAGCAAAGTTCTTAACCCGAGGTAATATTTCTGGGTTAGCGGAGTCTGTAACCTGAAGCGTATGTAACCCGAGGTACCACTGTAATTAAAAAGAGGTGTTTGGGAATACATTAGAGAGCTGGCAATGTCCGTGGCTCTATTGCATGCATGCTTGATGGCAAATCCTATTCAGCTCCCATGAAAAAGACGTGTTTTGACTTCCTTCTTCAGACGTTACCCTTCCAACTTGTGGAGGGAGATTCTTCACTCTCTTTTGTGAGGGATTCGGAGTGCTTATTGAGCCCTACTGTGCCGTAAACATCAAATAGCTGCAAAGGAACATGCAGAAACATCTGACAATGATCTCTTGACTTTAGCCAACATGGAACAGCCCCTATAGAGAACCAAACATTGGGTTCTATGAGTTCTATGATGCCTCTTATGTGAGCGAGCCAAGGAGGCTTCGGGCCTGGGAATCTCGTGACACAGTGTTCCAGGAAGCAGCCTTTGTTTGCCCACACGGTGTCTCTTTTATTTATTAATATGCACGCCCAACAATGCCCATTGTCTCTTTTCATATTGGAGAGCTGTCACATGAGCACTTCGGGTGTCACCCAGAGGATTGTGAGGCAAAGCCAAGTGGCTCTCTGGTTCCAGCTCGAAATGTTATAATACATTAACACTCTGCACACTCGACAAATGTCTCTTTTCAGACCCAATCGCCCACGTACGTTTTCAAAGTTTTCAGTTACAAGGAAGCACCCAAACAAGGAAGCTTGCACAAAAGCGTTTTCTTCCTCTCGAGCTAAACAAAAGAATGACTAATTTATAAAGTTGCGGAGGCAACATCTCCTTGTGCACCAGAGGCATCTAAGTGTGTAATCAGATTAGAAGGAATTTATGAATACTGAAGACTTATGCAAGAGTCATTTCTTTGGAGCTCCTAATTGCCATGTAGAAAAATGGGTATTTATAGTTTGAAAAGGGCCTTCCTTATGTCTCCCTCAGGGCTTTTACGGATGATTTTCATCACATAATAAACACACAGTTCTTTTTCCTTTGTTGTATAAAACATAAGGAAGCCCTCATGCCGCAGGGATACAGTATTTTCCCAGAATTTTGTCGCTGAGAAAAATGTAAGTCCTTTCCCTAGTTATTACATCTATTGTGATTGCCTTGGGGAATGTGGCTGAGGGACTCTCGCTGGAACATATAGGATAACTTCTGTAACATCATTAGAGACCAGGACACAATCCCTCACTCACGCCACTTCCTGACCTTTTGAAAAAGTTTATTTTTGTAGTAGTTTTTTGCACTGATCTCCACTTTCCCATTTTGCCACAACATTGCAGGAGCCTTAATATAGTTTTTTCTTTTTTCTTTCTTTTTTTTAAACACCAAACACCAAAAAGTGACCCTCTTCTGTATTTTCCCACAAACCTTTGGCTTTTCAACTTTTTTCTTATTTTTTTCCATTTATTTCATAAGTAATGTTCCCCACTCCATGGCTAGATTTCCAAAGGCATTACATAAAGGAACGTAAAAGAAAGAAAAAGAAAACAATTATCAATTAATGCATGAGACAAACCAAAAAAAATGCATGATGTACAACACCTCATTCTTTCCACATTTCTAAGTGGCCTTACAATTATTTTTTTGCTTTTCTTTAGTACTCTGAAAGCTACATTTATAGCACCGGAGTGCACTTCTGCACAGGTTTTATTTTAAAAGCGACTGCTATCTACATGAGAATGGGATATTGAATTAATTTGCGGGGTCATAACTAGCACTGAGAGCACAGTACTAAGAACAATAAGCTGGTTGTATGAAGAGGGGAACACGTACAAATGCCATATGTCTGGAAAATTCCTGACATGTCCTGTTTTCGGGTGCAAAAATGGCACGGGGGGATTTTGCCAAACCGGCAAACTGTCAGGGAAAACCCGGATGGATGGCAACGCGATGGGAAAAGCAGCGGAAACAGTTCAAAAAGCTTAAAATTACAATTTTTGGGGTAGGTATCCCCAGAAAAGCTCAACAATTTGGGTTTGTTCCAGCAAAAAGCTTAAGAATTTTGCGGTCTTCCTAAAAAAAAGTGCTCAACAACAGGAGTGTTACTTTTTGAAATATGGCAGCCCTAAATAAAGCCAACATTTGCTTTCCTCAAGTGCTCAAGTGCTGAAATTATATTCTATTTCACAGAAATGCCTCCCAGACCTGAGTGCTGTGCATGATTAGAGAATATGAACCTACCCAGACCCTGAGATCATCTTCTGAGGCCCTCCTTCATGCGCCTCCTCCTTGAGAGGTCCGGAGGGTGGCCACACGAGAACGGGGCCTTCTCTGCAGTGGCTCCCCATCTGTAGAATGCTCTCCACAGGGAAGTTCGCCTGGTGCTTTCATTATACAGTACACCTTTAGGCACCAGGCAAAAACATTCCATTTAAACCAGGCCTCTGGTTGATCTAATTTACATCCTATGCCCTTTTAAAATGTGGTTTGGGGGGGCTATTGGGTTGTTGTTTTTATTTTTATTATGTATTTTGTGGTTTTATATCTTGATTTTATTCTGTGAACCGCCCTGAGACCGCCCGGGTATAGGGCGGTATAGAAATTCAAATACAGTGGTACCTCGGGTTAAGTACTTAATTCGTTCCGGAGGTCCGTACTTAACCTGAAACTGTTCTTAACCTGAAGCACCACTTTAGCTAATGGGGCCTCCTGCTGCTGCCACGCCGCCAGAGCACTATTTCTGTTCTTATCCTGAAGCAAAGTTCTTAACCTGAGGTAAAATTTCTGGGTTAGCGGAGTCTGTAACCTGAAGCGTAGGTAACCTGAAGCGTAGGTAACCCGAGGTACCACTGTACAAATACTAATACTAATATCACTCACAAAACCAGTCCTCATGTTTTTGGAACCACAGTGCTTATCTCATATTTCTTTTTGAACTTATAATTTAGACATAAGTCCAGAATCCTGGCTGGGATGGTTTCACATACCCTGGGGGCATGTTTCAAAGGGAAATCATCAAATAGGGAAGAGTTATGCATCATTTTCCTTGTTCCCAAGAGGAAGGTAGCTGCTGGGTTAACATTGCATGCAACGCTGGCGTAATTCTTGATTTGGCACCAAGGTATATAAACCAGATGGAGAGTGTCATTGTTTTCTGGTGAAGAAAACATAGCCACCCATGCGCTAAGCACCCGAATCTTGTATGGCAATTGCTGGTATTTGTTTGAAATGCAAGGAACTCTGAGAAGAAAATATCGTTCAGCTGAATAGTTATTATGATGGCTTGCACGCTAAAGCAATCTCAAGTTGTTCTTATACCTGGAGATGGACAAATTTGCCGATTTTGCTTTGTCCCTATCACTCATTTTTCCAATCTTCAGATCACTACATTTCTTCATTGATTTGCAATTTACTTTGTCAGAAGGCCCCATGAAAATTCAGCACTTTAGGGCACATTTCTCCTAATATACACGTTTTTCGGTGAGCAAATTTCCCTAACACTTTGTAAGTTATTTGTGTACATTTCCCCCTAATCAACACACTTTTGCACTTTTTTTTTGGGTTGGAAAACTACATTGCAAAATTCAGAAAGGGGTGAATTTAAAAGCTGGCATTTTGCCTCCCCTGTTTCAGGCAGTACAAATTAGGGAGATTTGCATTAACATGTAAGCTGAATTATTCAGCCAACTGAATTATTCATATTCATCCTCTCCAATCCTAGCGACACTGAAAAATCTATGGAAACTAATAGGGGAAATTCTGAAAAGCTTATCATTTTGCTAAAAATTCAAGACAATGAAAAAGGTTGGCACGAACTGAATCAGTATGCAACCACTGAATTAAAAACTTTCCAGGCTACCAATGTTCTTTTGCTGCTGTGGAAGAACTTGGTGACTGGCAAAGAAGAAGAGCGGCACCTAGTGGCCAAATGGTTTTATGTCTTTAATGTATTTTTTCTTCCCTAACCCTTTTCCTTCTTGCAGCACCAACTAATTCTTAGTTTTGTGGTTGTTGTTTTTTAGCATGGAGGAGATGCAGCTTAAAACTGATCCACTTAAAAAACGAATTCAGAACGTTTTAAAAAGGAACCCACTTTGAAAGAAGCTTGTTATTGCTGATACTGAAAATATGAACAGCTGCAACGAAATATTTACAATGAACTAAAATTAGAGGAGTGGGGGCTAATGGGATTTAGCGCAAGAAAACAATCTAGTCCAGGCATCCCCAAACTCGGCCCTCCAGCTGTTTTGGGACTACAATTCCCATCATCCCTGATCACTGGTCCTGTTAGCTAGGGATGATGGGAGTTGTAGTCCAACAACAGCTGGAGGGCTGAGTTTGGGGATGCCAGATCTAGTCCAAAGAGGAGATATTGCCATGTTTATTTCTAGCTCCCATAATTTTCAGCTATGCGAAATTTGCTTTAGTAAAGGTAGGATTTTTTTTAAAAAAAACAAAACAAAACAAGGTTAATAATAATAATAAATTTTATTTATACCCCGTCCTCCCCAGCCAAGACCGGGCTCAGGGCGGCTAACACCCGATTTAATTAATTGAATTACCAGTGGTGTGGGTGAATGCTGGCCGGATTATGACAGATTATGCCTGTCAGGTTGTCACATGGAAGATGGAGCAATCTTGTAAAAGTACGATTGGAATATCACTTGTAGTTTAAGGGTGAATTCTAGATACAATAGAGATGTAAAAGATTTGGACTATCAAAAAAGATGCAGAAGGAAATGATTAATAACAGGACCCACAAAGGGCAGGAGGGAAGTCCAGGAGATTCCTTGAAATCTTGTTTTTGTTGATTTATGTTTGATATATCTGTGTGGAATTTTAATTTGAAAAAGCAAATAAATATATATTTTTTTTTAAAGGAAGGGGGAGCAAGTTTGTTTTCTCCTGTTCCAGAGAAATAGCAACCCTGCGACTTGCTCCAGAGTGAACATCTTTTGATCCGGTGCTCTGGGGCAAGAGATGGGCTTTAAAAATGGGACATTCCAGGATCCAAACAGAAGCCATGTTTAGATTCTGTGATCTGGGATGTTCCGCTTAAAAAGGGACCCTTATAGGGTATGCATACACTACCAGCTTGGGGGTTTACTAACATCACAATTTGACTCAAGAGGTCAGGGAGCCCCTGAATCACCTTTTGGTTAGCCAAGCCCCATAGAGCGTTGATGCATACTCCTGGAATCTAGGACCTAGATGAAGCCTAACATTAAAATCCCTGTGAACTGGGGATCTTTCTAACTATGAGGACCAGAGTAAAATCTAGACTGTGTCCAGGCCGTGGGTAGATACTTATCTAAACTATATCCATATATCTGTATCTATATAGATATGTATTCATCTTGTTCCCGGCTGTACACAGAGGTTATTTTTGGCCATGCCATAAATCGATGAACTCAAATTACCCAGCTCTTTTTAAAAAAATCATTGAAACAATATGCAAATGTACAAATGCACCATTTATTTTTAGGGCATGAACCAAGCCTAGAATATAATAGAGGATATTTCCACTATCCTGAATGTGTTTTGAATGTAGCCTTTCCCAGAATGATCCTTCTGGGAAACCTATTTATTATGATAACATTGCAGATAGGTATCAATCATCTGCCCCAAAGCAACGACTGCTGCACTATTTCCCGCCAATTTCTGTTTGAATAATTAATACCCACACAATGCTAATTGATCATACATATAGTAAGCATTAACAAATAGGTAGCAGATATAGTAGACGGAAAGAAAGAATGAATTGCTTTCCTTTGGACCACATCAGCACGAATGAGATGGGGGTCTTGTTGCCTGGGAAGCCCAGGACCTCCATACAAATTGTCCAGGCTTGCACCCCAGGGAGGTAACATTGGGGCTGCTAACACAGTGGTTTGACTTCACCCCCAAAAGCACACTCCATTCTCTCTTGAGACAGATGGATGCCAGCTACAGCAACAAATATATATGCAGTTTCATATCACTTAACATTCTTCTTTGGGTTTCAAAATACAGTGGTACCTTGGTACTCGAACGGCTTGGCTGCCGAACAAATCGCAAACCTGAACGCCACAAACTCGTAAATAAGTACTCCAGTTTGCGAACATTTTTTGGAAGCTGAATGTCCGACACAGCTTCCCTTTGAGTGCAAGAAGCTCCTGCAGCCAATCAGAAGCCGCACCTTGGTTTTTGAACAATTTCGGGAGTTGAATGGACTGCTGGAATGGATTAAGTTCAAGAACCAAGGTACCACTGTAGTATGTTGTTGTGGTTTAGTCGTTTAGTCGTGTCCGACTCTTTGTGACCCCATGGACCAGAGCACGCCAGGCACTCCTGTCTTCCACTGCCTCCCGCAGTTTGGTCAAACTCATAATCATATATAATTTATAAATCAGCAGATTATAATAATCTGAAATTCAAAACAGATCAAGATTTCCCATAATAGAACAATACTTCTAAAACTCTTAACTTACTAATAATATTATATTCAACATTCCCTCCTCTCTTCTCAATAATTGACCTATACTTGAACCTCACTACAGTGGTACCTCTGGTTAAGAATTTAATTCGTTCTGGAGGTCCGTTCTCAACCTGAAACTGTTCTTAACCTGAAGCACCACTTTAGCTAATGGGGCCTCCCGCTGTTGCCGCGCCGCCAGAGCACAATTTCTGTTCTCATCCTGAAGCAAAGTTCTTAACCCGAGGTACTATTTCTGGGTTAGCGGAATCTGTAACCTGAAGCGTCTGTAACCTGAAGCGTCTGTAACCTGAGGTACCACTGTAGGTGGGTCGCCATCACGCATGACCAAGCTAGCAAAAGACGAAAGTTAAGCAGAGCCGTGTGGGTGTAACCAACTTCAGCAAAACGCCTGGCAGTTTAAGCCAGAAATAGATTCCTTTCAAACAGAAAGAGTGTGCATTTTGAGTAGGGAATGGAAAAGGAATAAAATCTCTAGGCAGTTCTACTGTTACGACAATTACACCCGCCTTGATTTGCTGAAGCTGGCATTACTCTAAAGACATCTATAACAATGGATATGTAAGCAGGGGCAAATGTGTAGGTGGAAGGAATATTAGATATTGTCTCAGGTTATATTAGCTGTTCTGTCGCAGTCTGCTTTGCCAGGAACATAATGCATACATTCTTTCATAAATTAAAAAAAGTCAGTGGATTCCAACAGAAACTTTGCTTGGGGCGACAGTCAAGGGCAAGAATAGAAAACGATTGTTCCATATGTTTTGAATGTATCTTTCAATTCGTAGAATAGTAGAATTGCAGAGTTGGAAGGAGCCCAAGAGTCAATGCAGGAATCACAGCTAATATGTCTCTGACACAGGGGTGTCAACTTGAATAAAATATTGGGATGGCTCAAGTAAGCCCTTCCTTGCATAATCCATCACAAGATGCAACACACACACACACACCATTTGAATGGCAATTCAACTGTGGGAGTGTGTGGCCCGCTCAACTATTTTGTGGGGAGACTGAAGGGATTTTGGCCCCTAGGAGTTGGCTCCTATGCTCTGATAGACGTTTTCAGGTGTGTACAATTTTCACCCATATATTCAACAAACGTTTTCCGATCTTCTCTAACTGTATGTTCTTCTTGTTCTTGTATTCTATATGTTAAGTCTGCAAGCTGTGCATATTCCGTCAGCTTAAGTTGCCATTCTTCTTTAGTTGGGACCTCACTTGTTTTCCATTTTGGGGCTAACAAAACACGGACCGCAGTCGTGGCATACACTCTGTATGCCACAGAATTTGTACTCCTTTCCAGGACATTGCCAGAGCCCTAGCGCCTCCCTCCCAAAGCCCTGCGTCTCCGTTACCCAACTTTGGGAAGGTAGTGTGAGGGCTCTGGCAGCCTCGTGCTGCCTTCCGAAAGCCAGTAAGCATGGTGGCTCACAGTGCTATTTTTCTAGAAAAAGAGGTGCCGGAACTCACCATGAACGCCTCCCTCATTCTCTTAGAGTGGCACTGGCGTCCATCTGAGATGTGCCCCAGGAAACTCAAAATAGGCCTCCTCAAAATCATAGGCCCATGCCCATTGCCCCCCCCCCCCCCCGGTTCTGGCCTGGGTAGGAATTAAGGTTTGTGCTCCAAATTCTGATTGAGGAAGGCGGGGCAGGAACAAAACTTATTTTCAAAGTTTAATCATGGGGATGCAGCTGAAGAAATCTAATAGCCCACGCTTGTCCTGATTTTCCTTATATATATCAAATTTCTGTCCATCTGGATTCATTCGGATCTGATCTAAATTCTTCCCCTTCTTCCACATAAGTCTGCAAAGTGGATTTAACGGAATAAATGAATATCACACTCCATTTTATATCGGAGGAGCAGAAAAGGGAGAATTCGTCTATACTAAATATATCGGATTAAAAGGTTAGGGCTCAACAGGACAATAAAAGCTAAGGCTTCCTGCTGGCATCTATTTGTCAAAAATACTGATTTTACTCCCTAGGTCCAATATTTATAATGTGATGCTAGGTGGCAAGGGTCAGCAAACTTTTTCAGCAGGGGGCCGGTCCACTGTCCCTCAGACCTTGTGCGGGCCGGTCTATATTTTGAAGGGGGGGGAATGAACCAATTCCTATGCCCCCAAATAACCCAGAGATGCATTTTAAATAAAAGGACACATTGTACTCATATAAAAACATGCTGGTTCCTGGACCGTCCATGGGCCGGATTTAGTAGCCTATCCATGGCTGGCCCGAGACATTTTCTTCCTGCTGTGAAGGGCAAATTCTTACAACACCATTGATGGGATGTCCTCCTCTACTACATCTGGGGGAAGCAAGTTAGGGAATGCAAGGCAGGCTGTGAATAGCGCACCTAGTTCTTCATTGTCTTCATTATCTTTCTGCATCTCCTAGAATCTGCCACCTGAGGTGTCCGCCTCATTCTGCTTAATGGCAGAGCCAAGCTCTACAATGAAGAGTGGAATGAACTTATCATATGTGGTGGCCTTGTAGTAGGGTTAAGGCTTACTGGGAAATGATATACAATGTAATGAAAAAGATGTTAAAAATAACATTTGTAAAAAAAACAAACCCAACAATAACAACCAGAAGCCTTTCTCTTGGGAACTGTAGGGATAGAATCGTATCGAATGTTTTTCATGTATTTGACTCCGATGGCAAGAATGTTTCTTGCCCTAAAATGTAAAGAAGGAGAAGTCCCAGCAAAGGAAGAATGGATACAAAAACATAAGGAATATGCAGAAATGGTGAAACTTACTGGAAGAATAAGAAATCAAGATAACAAACTTTTTTTATAAAAGAATGAAATGGTTTATTGAATATTTACAGACAAATTGTAAACAGATAAAAACACTGGCAGGATTATTGGAATAACCTGCAGCTACATAAGAGTATATATTTAAAAAAGATAAGTAAATGAGTATGTTAAGTTAATTTGGATATGCAGAAGAAACTAAAAATAAACTTAAGGAACCGCAGACAAAGGGGGAAGGAAGTCAAGTTTTAAAAGTGTCAAAATGACTGTAAAATCAGTGAAATGTATATATCTGAAAAGTATGCTTCTTTTTTTAATGAGTAAAATGAACCACTTTCTTCTGCATTTAGATCCAAAGAGAGATCATTTTAACGGATCCTTCTCTCCCCCCCCCCCTTGCTACGATGACATGAAATGATGGCCACCCATTTTAGGCCTTTGTGTAATCCTCCTTTCTCTGCATTTGCTTGTGAGCAATGAGTCTTCAGTCACTGCTGCCCATTTGTCTCTCTATAAAGCACGAAGACAGAGTCACAAAGGAAATGTTGAAGAACGGGAGATGCTTCCTATCCAAATAATAAGATTGCCAATATTTAAACAAAGCTGGTTCTGCCACTGTGCCTTAAAACACAAACATTTGAAAAACACATCATTAAATGCCATTGTAACAATGGGGGGGTGTTCTTCTTTGTAGAAGCCGCCCAGAGTGGCTGGGGAAACCCAGCCAGATGGGCGGAGTACAAATAAATTATTATTATTATTATTATTACTACTACTACTACTATTAGGGCTATTTCATCAACTGTGGGAAAGATGAGTTCACATTGTGTTTCCGAGCACAATTCAGAGAGTTGGTGCTGACCTTTAAAGCCCTAAATGGCCTCAGCCCAGTATACCTGAAGGAGCGTCTCCACCCCCATCGTTCAGCCCAGACACTGAGGTCCAGCTCCAAGGGCCTTCTGGCGGTTCCTCACTGTGAGAAGTGAGGTTACAGGGAGCCGAAGGCCTTCTGGCGGTTCCCTCCCTGCGAGAAGTGAGGTTACAGGAAACCAGGCAGAGGGCCTTCTCGGTAGTGGTGCCTGCCCTGTGGAACACCCTCCCATCAGATGTCAAGGAAATAAACAACTATCTGACTTTTAGAAGACACCTAAAGGCAATCCTGTTTAGGGAAGCTTTTAATGTCTGATGTTTTATCGCCTTATCATCATCATCATCATCATTAATTCTACTGGGAGCCGCCCAGAGTGTGGAAACCCAGCCAGATGGGCGGGGTATAAATAAATTAGTAGTAGTAGTAGTAGTAGTAGTAGTAGTAGTAGTATTACAGTTCTTCACTAGCAGCCTCTGTGTCAAATACTGCAACAGGTAGAGATAAGATGCAGGTTGAAATTCATATGATAAATTCATGCCCACCCTGTAAGCTTTGAGTGGCTATGGCCATACATTTTATTCCAATTAAATTTTGCTCAGATCAGACTCATTAAAATTAATAGATCTAAGTTAGTCATGCCTAATAGCTTTAATGGGTCTACAGTGAATATGGCTAACATTAGAGACCCTACCCTACATTTTCATGCTAAAGCCTCTTAAAATTTATTATTTCCCTCTTATCTTGACCCAGATCTTACGAGCAGCCGAGAATGAAAGCAACCATATGTAGAATGAAAAATCTTTTCTAATTTGATAGGACCAACCTTGGGATATCATATACTAAATTGGAGATGGCGGCTAGTGATAAATCAAGTTGGAAAGTATTGTTAATAAAGGAAAAGCTATCTTGGCATTGGTTACCAGGGCAACCCAGATGAAGAGATTCTGCCAGACTGAGTTCCAAAACTTAAAATACTGAAAGGCAAATGATGACCGACTCAAACATCAAGTCTATATTACAGCTGTATTCCTGGAAGCATGTGAGGTGTCAGCTATAGTTTTTGTCAGACATGCCCTCAATGACTGGCTGATATTACTTGCAGTAGGAAAGGCTGTTGCGGAACAATAATAAACACACAAAACAGGTAGCAACTCTTCTAAGAAAATTTAATTACCTGCTGTGATCTAGTCTGATTCTGTACCGGGTATTCTATAATCTGTGACTGGATTCTGTTACGTATGTTTAATTCAAAGCTGCTCTGTTTTGTTTTCTTGAAATCCATAAAATGTATTAGGAACAAAGAGAACTTTTTTTTTTTACATTTTTAAAAGCAAATACCCAATAGAAAAAAACCCACATGTTACAACCAACTTCATGCATATGATAAAAAAATACTTATATGTGCATGACGAAGGCCCGTTAATTGCACTAGACACTGGAGAAAATGAGAAAATGAGTTGATGAAATTGACGAAACAGAGGAGGTTTAATTATATTATTTTAATTTAAAATACGTAAATGAAAATAAGGTTAGAAGGATTTGCTGGAAATACGATCTGAACTAGAATACAAAATTGGGAGGTGAGAGGAAGTCATGGAAATAAGTAAAGGGAAAAGGCTATGTAAAGGTTTAATCTGTTTTTGCTTTATTTTAACTTAATGCATTTTTATATTTTTTGTTAAGTCTTCTTTTTTATTCTATTTTATTGTTTACTTTAATCTTTTTATTTTTCGCTTTGTTATGGTTAAAGTTTTCTTTGTATTTTGTATGGTTTTTCTTTCTCTTTTTTGGTAACTTTAAACTTGGAATAAATATCATTTAAAAAAAATAGACACTGGAGAAAAGAGATGAATTGACATTTGCAGGGAACTCTTTTGAAAAATAAAACAGTGCTTTGCTTCTGTTATTATTATTATTATTATTATTCCTGCTATACTAGGTCCCGGGGTCTTTTAAGAATGTGGTCTGGTTTTTGGAGTGCATTCTGGAAACCTTAAGATACTGATGTAAACTGTATATATTAAAAGCCGAACTCCAGGAACACAGACATTCTGGGCAAAGTCTGTAATTACAGCTCTCAGTGTTTGTTTGTTTTTTATTAATGTTTTGGCCACCAATCAGTGGACTATTCAATGTTCACTGTTTGGCTGCCGGTGTGAGTAAAAGGACAGAGAATGTTGATTGGTACTGGAGTGCTCCACCTCTAAGACACCTCCGTAATTCTGATTCAACAATTGGCTTGGGTGCCACAGCAGAGACAAAGCCATGCTTTTGCATGTTCAGACCTTTAAACCTCCCCCTTAAATAAATTCAGTCAAGACTCAAATTTTGGTTTGGTTTTTGGGAGAATTTAGGCCACAACTTTATAGATTGCAGCAAGTGAGTGGTTTCATAGGCTCTGGTTCGACTAGCTCCCTGCCTTGCAGGTAGCGCTGACCCAGGGCACCAGCATAGGTCAGCCTAGGGTGAACACCCGGATAGGCGGAAAGGCTATGTCCACCACCCAGATGTCCCCCTAGACTCAGGCACGGGCACAACCCCCTCTCAGGGGTTGAACAAACCATCGAGTCCCTGGATTCCTTTAACGGAATACCCTTCACGTAGGGATGGCGAGAGCGTTCTCCCATCCCTGTCACCTGAACCAGAGCCTATCCACAATCTTACAAGTTGTGACGATTTGCTATGCAGCTGGCGAAACCCAAATGGCACCAGCCAATCAGCCAAGTGGGGAAAATTCCTGCCGTGCTCCTGTCCCAATGACAGACGACACACAACGGCATAGCAAGGTCAAGCGCAAAGCCCTAAAAGTAGGGAGAGGTGGGCGGGTGTTCCGAATGCACACGCCAAAGGAGGAAGCTCTGGGTTACGTGCATGGGTATAAATAGGTCCCTTGAGGACCCAATTTAGCTTTGTAAATAAATGTAGAAATAGAGAGAAGTGCAGACTTCTGTCAGAAGCCCTTCAAGTGACTATCACAAACAAATTCAGACAGTAGTTTCTTTCATGCGTCCCTCGAAGCCTGAGGAGAGAATGTGAAATACAAAACCTAACCCGCACACAGTCTCCATAAGATAATTAAAAAACACACATTCTTGTTTCTAGGTCTAAATTGATTGATCTCTTTGTATATTTTTTTACTCCCTGTTGCTCCTCTGATTCTAGACGGTTCCTTAGGCTCCTTGTTGTTTGTGAGGAGGTCTGAATTTCAACACTTCCTGGACATCCGCATTCATATTTATACATCATACTCTACATTTTTTTTAAAAAAAAATCAAGTCTAATGAAATGAGGTTCTCAATCAGTAGAGCATGATACTCTTAATCTCAAAGTCATGGGTTTGAGGCCCAAGTCGGGCAAAAGATTCCTGCATTGTAAGGGGGTTGGGCTGGATGATGCTCACGGTCCCTCCCAAACTTGATTCTCTGATGCTCTAATTCTCTGAAACCTATATTCCTCCTCCCATGGGTTTCATCTATTCTTTCACACATCACATTAATGAACATGCAAACACCATTCTGCCTCAACCACATTTGAAACGTCCCATGTACTCACACAAACATATACCGGTACCAGTCGACATCCAAAAACATGACATCCATTCATGTTCGTGCCCTGGCTTCAGTCCACAAATATCCACTGGCTTCTGTTGACTGTCTTCCAAAGGTGAACTTCTATCAGCCAATATCCACCAACATCAGTCTGCTTTAGCCTTGTAGCCTCTACCAACTTCCAAATCCAAAAGCTACTGGTTCCATCCACCAACAACTGCCAGCTTCTCTTAGGTCCATCATGAGACGTCCACCAGCTTCCAACCATGGATACCAGCAGCCTTCAAGCAAGCAAACTTGCCTTATTATCGCTCCCTAGCATCCCACTGCCAGAGGATTGCCTCCTTCCATTCACCAATTTGCCTCCTTCAAGTGGAAGAAACCTGGGCAGTGCTGAATGTCATATCCCTTGCCAGGTGTGTCCTGTTGGAAATAAAAAAGGGCTTTCCCCTTGGCCTGCCTTTATATCCACACAGTTGCCAAGTGCTTTTGTGACATCACAAGAAACCCACAGCCAATGGCAACAGCTGGGGAGGCATCATCTTCATTGCTTTGAGCCTCACAGTGGCAGGGGGAGCTATCAGTGATTGTGTGCTTGTTTATTTGGGACACTGGTGGCGCTGTGGTCTAAACCACCAAGCCTCTTGCCCCTGCTAAAAACCTTGCAGTTTTTGTTGTCACCTGATCATCTAGATAGGTCTTGTGATCCCTTCCAACTCTACAATTTCATGTTTTCCAAGATTTGTTTTATGGTAATTCACAAGGGACATGTGTGGTTTAGTGGCATTGCACAGAGTAAAGGAGATTGCCTGGAAGATGTTTAATATGCCCACATGAATACATGCAGTTAGGACCCAAAAGTAAAATATCAACTGACCTTCCCTGGGGAAAATGAGAAAGCATGGCAAGTTTATTTTGAACTGTGTAATCCAAATAGTGAGAGAGGATGCAATTCTAAACGCTTTCATGTGGAAGTAAGTCCCATTGAATTCAATGTGCCTTAGAGCAGACATGTTTAGACCTGCTGCTGTGAACAGGTTTCTAACAGGCAATTAGATACTTCATTAACTTTTTCATTTAAGGTCCCACAAGACTTAATGGTTTGTTTGCTAACCCTTACTTTTTAGGAGGGAAAAAGTGAGTCTTATAGAGCAAAAAATACGGTATATGTATAAAAGTTTTAAAACATGTATATTTTTAACTTATGTGTATATAAATTTTAAAATATGTATAGTTCTGCATCCACAAACAACAAAACAGAAAAAAGAATGATTGAAAATAAACCAATTGTACTGAAATAGGAAATACCAGACAAAAGTGGAAATGAATGTTGGATAGACTGATGCACATCCATACACCCCTAACCACAAATTAAGTGAAATGCGCTATTCCTGCAAGTACACATAGATCTTTTTTCCGCCTCTAGGTGATGCAAAAAAAATCGTATTCCCACAGCTGAGAAACACCATGCAAGCCGTGTTAAGGCAGATCATTTTCAATATGTCACAGTTTCGACACCAATATCACACAACGAATAGTGTATTTGCACCTTCACATGATATCAGGCCAATATTTGCTATGCTGGAGTGAACGCTTGTTTTTGATTTCTTAATGGTTTGGAAACTCAGTGCCATAATACAAAAATCTGTGCGGTTTGTTTCCCCCCCTCCTTGCAGATCACTCTAACAGAAACATTGAGCTGTAATACAAATCGACAAAGATGGTCGTACTGGGATCAAGGAAAGGCATAGTCATGGCCACCTACAAGAAGATGCTGGCAGCCCCAAGTGTTTTTCATTCCCCCCACCCCTGTTGGCAAAGGTCATCCCAGCCTTTCCTTCTCTTTGAAATGTGTGATGCTGACTCATGTGGCAACGGTGGCACCACACATATGCTTGCAACAGAACAGGAAGTTGCAGGGGAACAGTCGAGTCAATGGCATAGTCTCAAGAAAAGCATCGGCTCTGTGATTAACTATTGCACGACTAGGGGGATCATTTCCTCCCATATTCCTGATTTCAGAGAGCACTGAATATTCATGCTTATACCACTGGCTATTTGGATACATAATGAAAACTGAAGTTCTCACCCTGGGCCAGCAGGGGGATACTGTAGATAGTTCAGGTCCACATATGCAAATAAGGGATCGAAAGTGATGTTCAGTGATTGGATAGCTACAGAAAGTTGTTACATTTACGTTGTACTGGAGCTCTATATAAGCAGGCTGGCTGAACCCTTCAGCTCTGTTCTGTTCTGACCTGTGAATAAACAAGAGCTGTTTGGAGAATCGCTGTGTCGTCTGATATGTTCACCCACAACTTAACAAAAACTGCATTTACCCTGGGGCTTGTTGGCATGCAGAGGGCTGGGAGGCCAACTGGCTAGCCCCAGCTGGACCGTCTCCTTCCAGCCGCCCTGCTGTGAAGACCCATCGGCCTCTGCTCCAACGTAAATCAGCGACCCAGGCTTCAAAGCCAGGGCACACTATCAGCATATCGAACTGCACACACAGAATAGGGGTGAGACTTGTGGAAGCATACTATAACTACAGATTTATTAATCATATATCAGGACAAAGAAACATGTTGTGTCTCTCTCTCATCGTCTCAGAGAGAACAGCAAAAGCAAAAGCTATACGCAGCGAAAGTTCCCAGCAAGCTGTGCTGGAATGTAAACAGATATGTGACACGTAACAATCCCATGTCTGTTCCGTAAGGTGGAACGGAATTCTCAACATGGCTAACGTACATGCATGCAACACCCAGCAATGATGGACATTTCTGATCCCCAGGACTCATCTTCTGGCATATACTGCTACTTACAGGTAAAGGTAAAAAGGACCCCTGGACGGTTAAGTCCAGTCAAAGATGACTATGGGGTTATGGAGCTCATCTCGCTTTCAGGCTGAGGGAGCCAGCATTTGTCCACAGACAGCTTTCCAGGTCATGTGGTCAGCAGGACTAAACCACTTCTGGTACAACAGGACACTGTGACAGAAGCCAGAACGCACAGTAACACCGTTTACCTTCCCACCACAGCAGTACCTATTTATCTACTTGCACAGGCGTTCTTTCGAACTGCTAGGCTTGTAGGAGCTGGGACAGAGCAATGGGAGCTCATCCCATCGCGAGGATTCAAACTGCTAACCTTCCGCCCAGCAAGCCCAAGAGGCTCAGTGGTTTAGACCACAGCTCCACCTGTGTCCCGAATAAACAAGCACACAATCACTGATAGGTCCCCCCGCCATTGTGAGGCTCAAAGCAATGAAGATGATGCCTCCCCAGCTGTTGCCATTGGCTGTGGGTTTCTTGTGATGTCACAAAAGCACTTGGCAACTCAGTAGATATAAAGCCAGACCAAGGGGAAAGCCCTTTTTTATTTCCAGCAGGACACACCTGGCAATGGATGTGGCATTCAGCACTGCCCAGGTTTCTTCCACTTGGAGGAGGCAAACTGGTGAATGGAAGGAGGCAATCCTCTGGCAGTGGGATGCTAGGGAGCGATAATAAGGCAAGTTTGCTTGCTTGAAGGCTGCTGGTATCCATGGTTGGAAGCTGGCGGACATCTCATGATGGACCTAACAGTAGCTTCTGACACAATGGGATGCCGTGACAGGAGCCAGAGTGCACAGAAATGCTGTTTACCTTCCCGCCACAGCAGTACCTATTTATCTACTTGCACTGGTGTGCTTTCGAACTGCTAGGTTGGCAGGAGCTGGGACAGAGCAACGGGAGCTCATCCCGCCATGCAGATTAGAACTGCCAACCTTCTGACTGGCAGGCCCAAGAGCAGGCACCCCCAACCTTCGGCCCTCCAGATGTTTTGGACTACAATTCCCATCATCCCTTACCACTGGTCCTGTTAGTTAGGGATCATGGGAGTTGCAGGCCAAAACATCTGGAGGGCCACAGGTTGGGGATGCCTGCCCAAGAGGCTCAGTAGTTTAGACCACAGCACCACCCACATCCATCTGAATGGGACATTGCTGTGGGCAGCCTGAGGAAGCGCCATCCACCTTGGGTCTGCCCATAAAAACCAAGTCTCAAGTGAGAGACTAGGCTGGTGCCCACTGCTTCCAAAAACTCTTTTTGTTGTGAGACTTTTGTGGGTGAGCTGAGAGTTTGTTCAAAGCCTGTGTGGGAACCCAGTGACTGAGAGAGAGGGTGTGTCAGAAGGAAAATGAATTTATACCAATTTTTATATATTGGTGCCTTGCTGGGAAATGATATACAAAGAATTGAAAAGGATGTTCAAAAGAACTTTTATAAAAAACAACAACCAGAAGCTTTTCTTTTAGGAATTATAGGGACAGAACTACCTAAATCATATAGAAATTTATTTATGTATGCTACTACAGCAGCAAGAATGTTACTTGCCCAAAAGTGGAAAGAAGCAGAAGTCCCAGTAAAGGAAGAATGGGTACAAAAACTCACGGAATATGCAGAAATGGTGAAACTTACAGGAAGAATAAGAAATCTAGACAACAAACTTTTCATAAAAGAATGGAAATGGTTTATTGAATTTTTACAGATAAATTGTAAACCGATAAAAAACATTAGCAGGATTATTGGAATAACCTGCAGTTTCATAAGAGTATATATTTACAGTACATTAATTTAATGAGCCAGTTAAATGAACTTGGATATGCAGAAGATATAAAAAAATTAATGTAAGGAACCGCAGAAAGAGGGGGAAGGAAGTCAACATTTGAAATGTTAAATTGATTGTAAAATTAATGAAATGTATAAATTTGAAATGTATAAATAAAAAAACTACACACACACATTGGTGCCTTTGTATTAATGTAACTACATGTAACTGTATTTTTGTAATATTTCAAGTTGTGTGTTGTAGCTTCAGTTTTCTCTACACTGCTTGGAAATGGGGGGTTTTACTCTTTCTGAATTTGACAAGGCTTCCAAAAATAAGAATACACGTGCCTTTAGTCCGCAGCTGGCAGCTGTTTGTTCTCCACGCCCCATACTGGATGCAGGAAGTCATTTTTTAACTTGAAAAGTGAGGAGTGGTGATCACCAGATGTGAGTTTTTTCCACATTCCATTTTTTTGAAGATGCCCTGGACATCACAGCCTGAATCTGGAATCCATTGAGACTCTGCGTGCTTACTTGGGAGTAAGCCCCTCTGAAAGCGGTGGGGTATCTCAGAAAAGATATATGGGACGGTTCTGTTTATCATTTACATTTTTTATAAGAGAAAGAGTAACAGTGGATGTCAGTGACATTTTATAACACCCAAAAAAATATCACCCCAAACCACCAGCGGCCAGGTTGCTTATGCGGTAAGAGAAACTGGAGCTCCTACATGGCATTATAGCTATCAGTCAAATAATTCCCAACATGAACAACAGAGATCGCCTCTCCAAGGTGCCCGAAGAGCAAATTTTATTTTTGTTAAGAGACCTGCTGCTCTGGCTATTGTCATGGTTACAGAGACCTGATGGCATCTCTTTAGGAAAACAAAACAAGCCCCATGCTCCGTCAATTAGTAGTCTGAAAATATCACATTGTTTGTGCAGCGTTTTAATCTTTAAACAATCTGTGTGTTTTTTCCTGTAAACCTGGGCACATTGACTTTCGAGTAAGCCCCACTGAATGCTGAGGTTTACTTCAGAGTAATATGCAAAGGTTCTCCGTTTCCAATTATGGTGATAGTAACGCAATAACAAATACTCGAGCCCGCTTGGGAAAAGAACAGAACATATGGTTTTGATTGCATCAGGACTTGAATTTGCATTTCTAGAATGGTCCTGCATGCTGCAATGGTAAGTGTTTACTCTGCATCCAATGTGTTCCCACTGCTGGTTTGGGAAGCTTTGTGCATGTGACCTTAGCCACAATCCGTATCGATCCTGACATTTCTTATGAAATGCTGTATGAAATCTTCTTTTTTTGCCAGCCTCAATCCAAATTGAGAAAAAGAATGGCCTGCCTGCATGGCCGTTAATGAGGTCAGGGCCTTTAAAAAGGGCTTATTATGTTTAGCTCTTGCATTAAAAGGAACCAAGGACTCAGCTATACACTTGCAAACTAAATGTTTTAAATGTGTTGTAAAGTGCAATATACAAATGCGACACTAGATGGCGACAGTGAGCTATGCCAAATTCAATGTACTTTTCAAAACTTTTTTTAGAAAAGCATTTTCACGGAGTTTTAAATACGTGTCTACATTCTACCTCAGTCTCTTTTGTATACAGTGGTACCTCGGGTTAAGTACTGAATTCGTTCCGGAGGTCCGTTCTTAACCTGAAACTGTTCTTAACCTGAAGCACCACTTTAGCTAATGGAGCCTCCTGCTGCTGCCGCGCCGCCGGAGCACGATTTCTGTTCTCATCCTCAAGCAAAGTTCTTAACCCGAGGTACTATTTCTGGGTTAGTGGAGTCTGTAACCTGAAGCGTCTGTAACCTGAAGCGTATGTAACCCGAGGTACCACTGTACTGTGTTAATGAGCTTCCATTAAGTGCTTTCAAGTTTCACATTCCTACTTTAGGATCCATACCATGGGCCCCTAATATAATATGTCCATACTGAAAATAGTCTCCCCATCTTCAGTATGGACATATTATATTAGGCCCTTGCCTCAGGCCACCTATCACCTTGTACCTGAAAAAAGAGTTGAACCAAGCCCTTTCCATTTCACATGCTTCATTGCTATGCTGCACCGATAGCTGGCATAAATACTACTTGACAGAAATATCCTGATGTACCTCTTTAGGAATTGGACTCATAGAACTTGCAGATTTAGATGATGCCATGATGACTAGTCTCCCAAATCTGCAGTCTTTTCTTAAGTTTCTTGGATGCTACATCTCAGATGAACAGGGGCTGATGGGGTTGACTCAATCTGTTGCTACTGCTCAGCCTAGAATGGAGTGGGTTTAGGCAGGGGTGAGGTTAGCGCAGTGTAAACATACTGGCAGGAGTGCCAGATTGGCACATTTGTTCTGTGCCGGTCTCGCTTCGCTCCTCCTCCTCTCTGTCAGGTGACCGACGCAGCCCCCACCACATCACCTGCTGTTGTAATCGCTGAAAGGGAAAGGCAGTCTGCATATCCTCAGATGCACTCTGCTCCTCTTTTATGTGCACAGCACATATGGTAGTCCCTCGCATTCAAAACTGCCGTCAAAGTCTGACTCAACCTCTTCAAATTAATACGCACGCAGAAACGTCCGTCGTCAAGATGGTTTTTGCTCCTTTCCAGATTTCTCTCACCCCTTTGGAATGTTTTATTACCAGCCAAAAGAATCAGGGCTTTATTTCTCTGAGGCCACAGAACACAGTCATTTTATTTCTTGCTTATCTATTTAATATCGAGTACAGGAATCAGATGGAGAAGCAGAAGGAGGGAAATGAGCTCTTACCCATCTGATCATTTCGGGCAGGAAATTCCACTGGAAAATTAAAATGGGCTCCCTCTCGTTGCCTTCTAGCATTCATAACAAGGCAGCAGGCAGCACTCTGAAGATGACTGTCTGGGTCAGGCATCCCCAAACTCTGCCCTCCAGCTGTTATGGGACTACAACTCCCATCATCCCTAGCTAACAGGACCAGTGGTCAGGGATGATGGGAGTTGTAGTCCCAAAACAGCTGGAGGGCCAAGTTTGGGGATTCCTGATCTGGGTGCTGCCCATAAACTAGTTGTGCTGGCATATTAGATTTCAGATGGTTTAGTTGAAGGGGCAACCAGCCATTTAATGTTAGGGTTTCAATATCCAATAATTCATCATGTTATTACAATGAAACCTGTCATGAAAAGCTTAGAGGACACACCCTCCAGGAAGGGAGACAACAACTTTATTATGGCCCAATCTGCGGAATGCATTTAGAGCAGTACTATAACGTTTTTTCCCTCAAAGAATTCTGGGAACCGCACACTGTTGAGCTTTGTTAGGTAAAGGTAAAGGGACCCCTGACATTAGGTCCAGTTGTGGCCAACTCTGGGGTTGCAGAGCTCATCTTGCTTTATTGGCCGAGGGAGCCGGCTTACAGCTTCCGGGTCATGTGGCCAGCATGACTAAGCCGCTTCTGGCAAACCAGAGCAGCGCACGGAAACGCCGCTTACCTTCCCGCTGGAGCGGTACCTATTTATCTACTTGCACTTTGACGTGCTTTCGAACTGCTAGGCTGGCAGGAGCAGGGACCAAGCAATGGGAGCTCACCCCGTCGTGGGGATTCGAACCACCAACCTTCTGATCGGCAAGTCCTAGGCTCTGTGCTTTAACCCACAACGCCACCCGCGTCCCTTTGAGCTTTGTTAGGAGACCGCTATTCCCCCAATGGAGCTACAATTCCCAAGAGTTCCCTGGCAATGAGGGATTGATGGTTAAACCACTCTGAGAATGAAGCTCTGTGAAGGAAACAGGAGTCTTCTAACAAACCTCGGCAACAACCAACAAGATACAGTGCTCAGGATTGTTTGGGGGAATCCTAAAAAAACACAACCCTGTGAAATGGGTAAGACTAAGAGATAGGAACAGGACCAAGCTCATCCAAAGAGCTTCATAATATTCTGTCGAATGCTGAAGACACACCCCTTTCCCCTGGCTTTTTACATTCATTCATTCATTCATTCATTCATTTATTATTAAATTTGCATACCGCTCTTCATTGGAAGATCTCAGGATGGTTCACAGCATAAACATACAGAATAAAACAGTAGTTTAAAATGCTTGAATATGCCAAATTGGCAGGCATAACAAACAGGGTAAGAGAAAAGGACAATAAAGAATATGAAGAAGATTGGAAAATGTTTATTGAGTATTTTCAGAACCAGTATAAACAAGTAAATAACTTAGCAGGTCTTAAGTAAATCCAGCATAATAGGAATTAATAGAAATTTAACAGAGGAAGAAATTTGAAGATTAAAAATATGGAATACGCGATTTAATAGAAAAATAAAGAAACCAGGAAAAGGGTGGAAGGGGAATACCAGGTATGTCAAGATTGGTATGAAATTTGTACACTTGGGGGGAGGGAAGGGGATGTGGGATGTGGGGTTTTTTTTGTCTCTTATTAAAAATGCATATATATATATATAACTCTATAACCTCCAACATTCCTCTAATGAAAATAGGGACATCCTAAGGAAAAGCGGGACATTCCAGGATCAAATCAGAAACCGAGGCGGCTTCTCTAAATCAGGGGTGTCCCTGGAAAGTAGGGACTCTTGGAGGGTCTGAAATTGCCTCATGAAGGGTCAGCCTGACTCTATGCTGGTAGATTAATATGGAACTGAAAACTACTTCACAAGATGAGAGGCAATTCTCAAGAAACAGGGGTCAATATAAAAAGTATTAATGGGCAACTACTATTGTATAAATTTAGGCCATTGCTTGATAGGGAGTCCTCCTCACTGAGCTCAATGGGACCTCCTTGTGAATATAGGTTACACTGTTAGATGTTATTGCAGTTGAGCATCTTTACCAAGCCTTAGGGACGCGGGTGGTGCTGTGGGTTAAACCACAGAGCCTAGGACTTGCCGATCAGAAGGTCGGCGGTTCGAATCCCCACGACGGGGTGAGCTCCCGTTGCTCGGACACAGCTCCTGCCAACCTAGCAGTTCGAAAGCAGGTCAAAGTGCAAGTAGATAAATAGGTACCACTCCAGCGGGAAGGTAAACAGCGTTTCCGTGCGCTGCTCTGGTTCACCAGAAGTGGCTTAGTCATGCTGGCCACATGACCTGGAAGCTGTACGCCTGCTCCCTTGGCCAATAAAGCGAGATGAGCGCCGCAACCCCAGAGTCGGCCATGACTGGACCTAATGCTCAGGGGTCCCTTTACCTTTACCTTTACCAAGCCTTATATGAAGCGTTTGCAGGTTATTGATGGAGAAGCTGGAAGTTTTGTAGGTAATGCTATTGAAGAGCCTGCTTAATCAGGCCAATGGCCCATCTTGTCCAGTATCCTGTTCTCACAGCTGCCAACCAGATGCCCGTGGGAAGCACACAAGCTGGAGATGAATGCAATGGTACTCTGCCTGAACCTGATAGTGCTCTACCCCAGTTTCCATTGTTTCATCTTCCGTAGCTCTGTGTGAATTCAGAGACCTCAATTGTGCCGAATTTCTGCTGAAGCAACTGATTGCTCCTGGGGTATTTTAAAACCACTGTTGAGCTTCCTCTGTCAGTCGCTAGCTGAAGGCCAAACGTAGACTCATGATGTAAAGCTTTTATGGAGATACGATTCTGGCACAATTCTGCTTCCACTCAATTTCCTCCTTCCCTCACACATCCTGTATGAAAATGAATAGGGGAATAGTGGGGTGGATGCAGCTGCTTTTGTTCAATAAAGGCAGAGTTAATATTTTTAGGGAGTGGGAAGCGTCCAGGTTTTTTAATACTAAATCCACATGGTTTTCCTGAAGTTCCATCATTAATCCATCGGAAACGTTAGCCAGTCTCCAAATGGTCAGACATTATCCGCAGAGCGAGTTAAGAATATATGCATTTCAGGTGTAAAAAAGGGTTATTTACATATGTATGCCACTGGTGCGGCCCGTGTTTTGTTAGCCCAAAAATGTAAAACGAGCGAGGTCCCAACTAAAGAATGGCAACTTAAACTGATGGAATATGCGCAGCTTGCGGACTTAACATATAGAATAAGATAACAAGAAGAACATATGCTTAAAGAAGATCGGAAAATGTTTATTGGTGATGTGGGGGGAAATTGTGTACACTTGAAAACGTGGGCAGCATTCAGATAAATTCAACAGTGTAAATAAGTTTTGATGGCTGTAATAATGGAATACAGTGGTGCCTCGCAAGACGAAATTAATTCGTTCTGCGAGTTTTTTCGTCTTGCGAGTTTTTTCGTCTTGCGAAGCACGGTTTCCATTTTTTCAAAAAAGTCTTTAAAAACCTCAAAAAAGGCTACAACACAGCGCGTGCTATGAGTTGCTCCTCGAAGTCAAGTCACAACTGCACCTCTTCAAGCAATGCACCCTGTATTACTGTAACGGTTTTAAGAAAAAGGAAACAAACTTGCAAGACATTTTCGTCTTGCGAAGCAAGCCCATAGGGAAATTCGTCTTGCGAAGCAACTCAAAAAACCAAAAACTCTTTCGTCTTGCGAGGCATTCGTCTTGCGAGGTACCACTGTACTGAATGGTTTAGTTTATCTAAAATATGCAGGGATTTATGATATGCAAAATGAACCATGGAATGAGAAGAAGGGAAGTCATTGGTACTTGTTTAAATGAATACTCTAAAATGTAAAACAGAAAATTTAATAAAAATTATGGGGGGGGGGGGAGAAAATATGCATTTCAGGCCTTTCAGTGCCTTTCCTTCACCCCTGGTTCAGCCTAGCTAAAATGGGTTGGGAAAAGTTTACCATTCCTGTCCTTCTCAGTGGTAGTCCTTGATTTGAAATTGATTCGAGACTGGTGGCATGTCCTCTGTTTCAGGGTGCAGACTTGAGAAGGACTTCAATTCAGATGACTCATCAGTTGCCCAGCTGGTAGGAGCACCACCTTCTAGACTGCTCAGGACATGGCGGTCTTTTGGACATTTGGCGGTTTATGAAATTATATTGTATCTGCGAGGGTGATGTTACCTATCCTTCCTAAAGTTGGATAACCATTAAATGTTCAGGAGCCTTCTCCACTCTTGCAGAAGTAGCCAGAGTGGTATTTTCCAAATGCCTCCACTCCAACCTTCTCTGACCATTGGTCATGCTGGCTTGCACTGACAGGAATCAGAGCGCAACAGATATCTGAATAGTACCATGCTGTCTACCTGAGCTTCTGATTCTTATATACCTGCTTCCACATGGATTGGTGACATCATGCAATAGATGTCATCATCACCATCACCATCACCATCACCATCATATATTATTTTATACCCTGCCCATCTGGTTGGGTTTCCCCAGCCACTCTGAGCGGCTCCCTACAGAATATTAAAAACACGATAAAACATCAAACATTAAAAACTTCCATTGCAACAATATACATATTTTAGGTGGTAAGACTCTAATGGGGCTTATACATATTTCTAACATGTTTTTTTGTTTTAAAAAAAGAGAAAATATGACCCACACATGTATCCCTCTCTGAGGAAGCAAACAATCACATTTGACAACGTATTCTTCCTGTTTGAATTCACATGACATCAGCTGCTGCTATTTGCCCATATTTCTAATAAGGATTTTTAATGGTCAGCTACCAGACCTGCAGACACACAAATACATGTATACATCTTTGTTATCAGGCAGAGGGGAATTGCACTCAAATATCCTCTTTATAGCACATAAAAGCATTTGGAAATTGCCAACAGGACAATATACCATCTCTCGCCAAACTGTCAGTGGCATCCCATAAAAGTGCATAAAACGGTACGCACTTGCACAGAACAATAACATTTATGTGCCTCCTGTAACAGGAGACCCCTCTCCAAATTGCAAAGTGTTATGGCTTCCTAGGATTTTCAGCACTGCAATTCCCTGTTGAGTCAGTTTCTCCATTAGCAGCTATACTGATCCTTATGTGGCCCACAGGGATTCTCTCAATGCTGTGGTCACCTCAATAATTTGTGCAAAAAGTATTTCTGATTTGGCAGTCAGCGGCCATAATGAAAACCCCCTTGGTACATTGGGTTCATTGTTTTTAAAGTTTTAATTTCGGGTTTTCATCTTGAAACGGACTCTCTGATAGCCATGTCTCTGAAATTTATTTTTATTCTCTGGACAGCAGCAACGGCTGGCCAAAAGCAATATAAGCCTCTCATCAGATATGATCCGATCTATTAGCAGCAGACGTTTTCGGATGTCTCTTACTGCAATTTCAAGCAGCCCAGCAGTATCAGCTGATGGGATTATCTGTTGGGAAGAGCAATCTTTGAGATATTCATTTGCCCTGGCCTGGATGCTGACCTTCCAAGTCTTGGGCCACTTCCCACTGAGATGTAAAGTGGCATTGCCAAAACAGAGGAACTACATCACGCCCCACCCCAAAAGCCAAAAGAGGGCACAGATTTAAATAGAAATGCATCTCCACAGTCTGGGGAAGATTGTAATCAGGTGACCTGGTGCTTAGTCTGTTGTCTGGATGCTAATTTTTATAGGGACGCGGGTGGCCAGCAGCAGCCTTCAAGCAAGCAAACTTGCCTTATTATCGCTCCCTAGGATCCCACTGCCAGAGGATTGCCTCCTTCCATTCACCAGTTTGCCTCCTCCAAGTGGAAGAAACCTGGGCAGTGTTGAATGTCACATTCATTGCCAGGTGTGTCCTGGTGGAATCAGAAAAGGGCTTTCCCCTTGGCCTGCCTGTATATCCACTCAGTTGCCAAGTGCTTTTGTGACATCACAAGAAACCCATAGCCAATGGCAACAGCTGGGGAGGCATCATCTTCATTGCTTTGAGCTTCACAATGGCAGATGGACCTATCAGTGATCGTGTGATTGTTTATTTGAGACACGGGTGGAGCTGTGGTCTAAACCACTGAGCCTCTTGGGCTTCCCAATCAGAAGGTCAGTGGTTTGAATCCCCACGATGGGATGAGCTCCCATTGCACTGTCCCAGTTCCTGCCAACCTAGCAGTTCGAAAGCATGCCAGTGCAAGTAGATAAATAGGTACCGCTGCAGCGGGAAGGTAAACAGCATTTCTGTGTGCTCTGGTTTCCGTCACGGTGTCCCGTTGTTCCAAAAGCAGTTTAGTCATGCTGGCCACATGACCCAGAAAGCTGTTTGTGGACAAACGCTGGCTCCCTCAGCCTGAAAGCGAGATGAGCGCTGCAACCCCATAACCACCTTTGACTGGACATAACCATCCAGGGGTCCTTTACCTTTTACCTTTTAATTGTTGGTGGACAATTTCAGAGACTCTGCTCTCCCTCCTTATGGTTATTCACTTTTAAACCAGATTTGGAGCAGAAAGACCTCTTCTCCTTTGTAAAGTAGGACACCTCTGTTGTTGTGGTGGTTTGCCTGTGTGTGGAGTATGCTACTTCAGAATGGAATTTGGCACTCATGATATTGAATAATCAACTGCAAGAGTGGGTTGCCCTGTGGGATGGAGCCCCAGCAAGAGTCTCCCAGTAGCAGCGCCCCTTACTGGGAAGGGAATGGGTGCAGTAATGGCAAGATTGGGGCTATGCGAGCCCATTCACTTGTCAAAATGATCCAAGGAGAGTTGGCCACTTCTCTGGACTGACCTAGTTCTTCATCCTTCCTCAAGTAAGTCCATAGAGCTCAATGGGACTAACATTTAAGTAGACATGAATATGATTGCACTGTAAGTTTATTTTCATATAACATTTTTGGGCAGGTCTAATAGATCCGTATAGTTAAAGCTGTGGTTTTCCCAGTAGTGATGTATGGAAGTGAGAGATGGACCATAAAGAAGGCTGATCACTGAAGAATTGATGCTTTTGAATTATGGTGCTGGAGGAGACTCTTGAGAGTCCCATGGACTGCAAGAAGATCAAACCTATCCATTCTTAAGGAAATCAGCCCTGAGTGCTCACTGGAAGGACAGATTCTGAAGCTGAGACTCCAATACTTTGGCCACTTCATGACAAGAGAAGACTCCCTGGAAAAGACCCTGATGTTGGGAGAGATGGAGGGCACAAGGAGAAGGGGACGATGGAAGACAAGATGGTTGGACAGTGTTCTGGAAGCTACCAGCATGAGTTTGACCAAACTGCGGAAGGCCGTGGAAGACAGGAGTGCCTGGCGTGCTCTGGTCCATGGGGTCACGAAGAGTCGGACATGACTAAACGACTAAACAACAACAACAACAATAGATGCATGATGGATTCTGCTAGTGCAACCGGTAGCAAGTGTGAGATTGTTTTTGCTAAAATTCCCTAGTGTTGAGAAGGACTGAGTCACAGAACCCAAGGACATATTGTACAATTGAGTCAATATCACAACTCTCTAATCTGACATGTTCCCTACGCAACATATTTTCAGAGAGAGAGATCACACACTGGGGACTCAGCTACATTAGTCAGGAAGCAGTGTTTTGAATGTTTTGTAACCATGCAACACCAGATGGTGCCAGAGAGCAAAAAAATCTACATGATTTTCCATAATGTTTTTTTTTCCCCCCTTTTCTTATACCGATATAATTTCTGACTTATTTATAGTGTGGTTTTTTCCTGCATGTAGATCTACCCAGAGAGATTTGTTCCAACAGACAGAACAAGAATTTAGGGTTGATTAAATTATAAGCTGCATCCAGTTTTGACAAATGATTTCCTAATCGACTGTGGTTCTGAAGGACATGTCCCACTAATGCACTTTAATAATTGGGCAGATAGCTTTATCTCCAATGGTGAGAATCAAATAAGACCTTAAAAGTCTAAGCATGCTTACAAGTATTTGGCTAGTTCATGCATACACATTCGGGTGTGTCTGAATGGCTCAAATATATCAACTGACCATCACAGATTGTCCATGCTGGGTACAACTTCTATGTGACTTTAGAGACACTCTGTGTTCCCATGGTGCCAGTTCATACATTCAGCTGCCAGCCAGTCATCCTATGGACAATATCTGAGCACAGTGGCATGGAGTGGGGAGCACAGGGGGTCTGTGGCCCTGGGCACACAATTTTGAGGGAGCCCGAACCAGGTGCCCCCATGCAGGTGAAGGCGCAATCCATCCAGAAGATAAATTGTTTATCGAGGAGTTAGTGATCTAACATGGTTGCTCCTTCTGCCTCTCTTCCTTGCCCTTCTTATCTCTTGTTAAGTTCTTTGATGGCATGAGAACAGCCTTTAATGCCCTAACCAGTTGGAAGGAAGTGACAGTGGTAGGTATCTTCTTTGATGTTGGACATTGTTTTGAGAAAGTGAGGCATTGGGAAGGGTGGCTAATGAACAATCTTCACGTAGCCAGTAATGAATGATCTGCATGTAGTCAGTCGGGCAAGCCATACAGGCTAGCTATCTAAATTGGATGGCTTTGGGCAGAGTTTTTTGGAGAAGCCATAGGGCCGTGCAAACTGAGGCTACCTGGGGGAGTCACTTCGCCGCTTCTTGAGGGCTTCCAAGTGGCATATTGAAGTGCTTGCTCTGTATGTATATATTGCTTGCTGCTTAGAATAGAATCTTTAATCTTCTCACTCACTTGTGTTTTGTATTACTTCTGAATTTCATTTTGAAAGAACCACCTTGCATTTGGCAAGACAGCAGGCGCCAGCTTCTGTGGTGATCCCACCCAGGCGTGTCCTGGCAGGCCCTGTCCACAGCTCCTCATCCTTCCCTGCTTGCTGCCAGGGGTCTCTGGGCCCTGGAACCCTTGCCACCACATCCCCATCCCCCTCGCTGAATGGCTGCCTGACCAGTGCTCGCCTGCTCCTCACTTGGCGTGTTCCCCAGATGGTTAGGCGGTAGGCAGGTGGTGCAGCGTGGCCCTGTTTGGGTCCAATGGGGGGAGTTGCTCCAGCGGTGGTTGGCGTGGAGGGCTGAGCTGTCACAGCAGACTCCATTCACTCTCTGCCCCCGGTGTGCACATGCGTGCCCCAGGCACCAGCAAACCACGCTATGCCACTGTCTGAGCCTAGAGAAAACAAGTGCCTGTATGAATGAAGGGATGTGGAGTCTAAAGGAAGTTTGGAAGATCAATAGGTATGTGCAAGAATCTATAGGTGAAGGGAAGGATAAGTGGCCCTGTCAAAGACAAGGAAGACTGTCAAGTTCAATGAGGCCTCCACTTCTAAAGGATGGAAATATAAAGAGACCTTGAATGATGGGGTGTGCATAAGGTGGAAGTCCACCATTGACCGTTAGCTGGGTGACAAACGTACCTAATATTTTGGTATGTCAGAATGCAAGCACAGTACTGGAATCCTTGTGGGGAGGGAGCAGGGGATGGTGTCAATGCATGGGGTTTGACATATTTGTCAAGCAAACTGCTAGCATGCTTGCAAATCTAAAGGTGAGCAATAAAACATCTGCCTTTATCATGTACAGCACGCTTTTAATCAATAGATCTGATTTCTTCCTAAGCTGGGCAGATGTGCAGATATTTGCTGGAGCCTTGCTACAGTGTAAAAATAAATAAATTCATGTTGTTTTCTATCCAGGAAAAATGATTCTGTCTTGCATCTAAATTTGTTGCTTTCTGGAATTTAAATCACCACTTACATGAAGCATGCCAATAAATCCATTAAATGTTTGGCCTTTGTCACTGAAGAAACCATGGATATTACATTATTAGAATTTATATGATAAATGAAATTATAATATCCATAGATTTTCTTTCTGAATCCTGACAAAGGGGGAGGAAGGGAGGAAGATGTATTGCCATAGTGATTTGCCTGCTATTCTAGGAAGTTGAGGGGCATGCATTATTCAGACTTGCAGGACCTGGGGGTGGAATATAATCACTGGTGACCAGAGAGTGGAGGAAGTTGAGGAGAATGAAAGATGGAGCATCAGTTCAGGAAGGTCATCATGAGCAAGGAGAGTTATGACCGGGGCAAGAATAAAATCCATTGGCAGCCATGTGCCTCAATCTCCTATTCCCTTCATGAATTTTAGGAACTGAGCTTTAAATAATGGGGACTTAGATCTGTTGGCACTGTTCGGTGTAAATCCAGTGAGAAAGGTAGCAACTATTACTATTGTTAATTCAAGATGAGAGCATTGTGTTTGTGCAGTTGCCTAGGGCTTACAGTTCTCCCTTTTAATCCAGAGTAAATCCCACTGTGCTCAGTGTTACTTGCTTCTAAGTAAACGTGTCTAAGATTGTGCTGTAAGGTTGCATTTGCATCTTAAGTTTCTGGCCAGGCACACAGGATCCCATCGACCTCCCTGGAAGCCCAGGAAATGAAGACTGTATGGTAAGAACGCTCCACTCTGATTCACAACTGCTGTGGTAATTCAGCTGTATTGAGCTGTGCAAGTATTCCCCTTTAGCACATAATTAACCTACAGTGTGGTGTAGTGGTTAAGAGCGGTAGACTCGTAATCTGGGGAACCGGGTTCGCATCTCCGCTCCTCCACATGCAGCTGCTGGGTGACCTTGGGCCAGTCACACTTCTCTGAAGTCTCTCATCCCCACTCACCTCACAGAGTGTTTGTTGTGGGTGAGGAAGGGAAAGGAGAATGTTAGCCGCTTTGAGACTCCTTTGGGTAGTGATAAAGCGGGATATCAAATCCAAACTCTTCTTCTTCTTCTACAGCAGTGGCGTAGCATCCCATGGCCCTGGGCACAAATTTCTGAGGGGGTGCAACCAGAGACGCCCACAACAGGCTCCCTCATTGAGGCAGGAGCTGTGAGGAGGCAAACCACACCCAGGCCGGGCATTCGGGGCTGGGGTGGAAGTGGTGTCTTCTCCTTTTGGCCAGTGAAGGAACACCCACACATGCTCTACCACTGGGCCGGCTGAAAGAGAAAGAGGGAGGGAGGGAGGGAGGGAGCCACCACTGCCCACCAAGGAGGGAGGAAGAGGAAGGCAGGAAAGCAATGCAGGAGCGCCTTGCTGCAAGGACAGGAGGGCAAGTTGACAGCGGTGCTCCTGGCCTTCATGTTTCTCTGTCTTTTCTCTGATCCCAGGTTGGGCCTAGCTTGTAAGGAAAGACTCCCTTGATTAGATGCTGGTCAGCAAAGGGACTGCCTGCTGCCCAGTCCACCAGGGCGGCGCAACACTTGCCCTGCCCCGGGCAACAGCAACCCACGCTATGCCCCTGATCTACAGTGTGAATGGAAACTGATTGCACCGACCTGAATGTATGAGCTGTAGTTGTGCCTTCATGGGGGCATTTCATACAAGCATCAACTGCTGTGAATTGTCTATTTCTTGCTAATGCTGGATGCATCCATGAAACCAACTTCTGATTCGGATGAGCTCTTAATGTGATGCGATCCAGTATGCAAAACTGAAAGACCCAAATGGACACATCCTTCTGAGCACAAATGAGCACAAATCATCATGAATATGCAATAAAAAAGAAATTTGGAGTAGCCCTTACTTCAAAATGGGGTAAGCCAACTCTCTTGCATTCAGGGGGCCTTTCTGCTTATTCTGTTGAGTATGGCTCTGGACCCCTGCCCTAAAACTCTGTCCAGACAGCACTACAGTGGTACCTCGGGTTAAGTACTTAATTCATTCCGGAGGTCCGTTCTTAACCTGAATGTGTTCTTAACCTGAAGCACCACTTTAGCTAATGGGGCCTCCTGCTGCTGCTGTGCCACCGGAGCACGATTTCTGTTCTCATCCTCAAGCAAAGTTCTTAACCTGAGTTATTTCTGGGTTAGTGGAGTCTGTAACCTGAAGCGTCTGTAACCTGAAGCGCATGTAACCCGAGGTACCACTGTACTGGGAGCAGATGTGCATTTTTTAAAAAATATACATATTTTTAGTGAGTTTAACTAAAATTGCTACAGCTGACCCAACATGAAACAAACCTAAAAGAACCTACTATAATTTGAAACGAAGCAAATTATATACCTTCGGACTTGGAAAGGTACTCCTGATTTATATCTATGATTTCAGTCATGGCTTCCTAATCAAGGTTGTACTGTGAGTGAGCCATATTTTCCACTGAAATCAGCCCTTGAAGCTATCAATCTTTAATTAAGGTTGCTGAGAAACTTTTGCCTTTCTGGTAAGAGGGACAAGTGGAGTGGAAATACATTTTTTGCCTGTGCTCGAAAAACATTACCTAATGTCCACACACAAGCCACAAAAATCACATGCTTGCTTTTAAATATGGATATGCTCATTAAAGGTTTGGAGGTAGGTGAGGGGGGAGAGAGGGAAGAGCCATCTCCTTTTAGAAATAAGGCAGCTGCAAATCAAAGTGCTGTCTGAGCTAAAAGATATTGTGTGCGTTGTATACCCAAAGCTGAATTTTGCATACGAAAAATTTCCATCTTTTCTTCTTGGAGGAAATTGCTGGTTCCCCATCAACAGCTGTGGGGAAACTTTGACTCTCCAGATCTTGATGAACTACAGCTCCAGCAAGCATAACCATTGACCAAGTTTTTCACCAACATCTGGAGGGCCAAAGATTCCCCACACCTGCCTTACAGCTGTTGAAAAACAACAACGCCTTAATATTTTCGCCCGTGCGAGAAACAGGTTCCACATGACAGAGACTTATTGATAAAGTTTTTGCATCCTTGGTTTTTAAGCCAGGGCATAATCAAATTGTCCTTTCTCTAGTCCGTTGAGTCCATCTGCCCAGGTAGAGGTTGGCATGCTCCTATAGGGGTCAAGGAGGATCCGGAAACACCGGACAATGAGGATTCCGAGGAAAATGAATAATAAAACGACAAAGACAAAGGTTGTTTTCTGTTCCAGGGTGATGCCGGTTTCTGTGGGAATGTTCCCAGAAGAGAAGAAAGCAGAGGTGAAGGGCTCGCCATCCATTCTCCAGGAAAGAGGAACAAAGGAATTCCACAGTCTTCTTCTTTTCATCATCAGGGCATGGTAAGAATCATTTGCAGGTCCTTCATTACCTGAAACTGAAGAGATGAGAAACGAAGGTATAAATAAGTCTGTCTTGAGTAGGATGTCAAGGCTCTGAAGATGCAAAGAGAGAGACATTTCTTCGTGACCGTAGATCAGGCAGAAATGCTCTTATCCCAAGTCTTGGCAGATAGGTGTGACGGGTGACATTCCAGTCAGTTTATTTATTACTTTTTAAATTAAATTTGTATACTGTCCTATACCTGGAGGTCTCAGGGCATTTACAACATAAAATCACAATTTAAAAGCACCAAATACATAATAAAAACAAAAACAACCCAAGAAACCCCCATTGTTCTAGACAAGAGCGGCCAATCTGCCCATTTGTGTCCAACATAGCAATAACAATACAATTTATTCATGCTGCATCTTTTTAATATTACAGGGTGCATAAGGTAGGGTTGCTATATTTCAGAAAGTGAAAATCCAGACATGGACATTGGGAAGGGCTGCCATATGCCCAGGTTTTCCCGGACATTTTAAACCATCCTCGAAAATTCAGCCCAGACGCCATTGTTGACAGACAAATCCTGTCTATGTCTGGGAAATTCTGAACATATGGCAGCCCCGGCAGCAAAAGTTAATTCCACTGAAGTAACAAATGAGGTTTTGCAAAGGGCAAATTGGAAGTTAACTAAATTGGATATAGAGTTTGATAGAAATACAAAATTGGTTAGGACTACTCCCGAACAATGTTTAGAGGCAACTTCCAAATGCATAAAAGGGATTGTGTTTGAACTTTGAGTTTGAAAGCAATTCCTTATTTGAGTTATTTGCTCAGAGTTCTTCTCCTCTGTAGTTCCTGGTCCAAAAATATATTTCTAAGAGCCAAGGGAAGGGCTTGTATTATGGTGGTGCAATAAATCTGTCCCGTCCCCCCCATGATGAGAGCAGGATCACTCAGATTCAGTCCAGTATATTTTGCTGTTTGGTTGGCCTTTTTTTTTTTTAAAGATTTGGTGGAATTAACAGTGTTAGTAATGCAAAATGAAGAATGCCATAACTCCTGTCCTGAGTGTTTTGATAAATACCGCTGGCCAGAGCAGCGTGGAATGTGGAAAATGGGGAAAATCTGACATCTATCTCCCTGGTTACTACTGGAAGCAGAGCTGGGCTTTTGATCCAACATGACCTTGTCTTATGCTTTTCTACAAATGGAGTAAGAGGCTGGGAAGATTGGGAACTAAAGTGCAATGGGTCATAGCTGAGATATTAGGAAGCAGAGACCTGTGGGATAGGGTGGGGTAGAGAAATAATGGATAGAGAAATAATGGGGGTAGCTAGAAGATGGGATTCGACCAAAGTAAAGAGAGTACAGTGGTACCTCAAGTTATGGACTGGATCTGTTCCGGAGGCCAGTCCGTAATGTGAAAAGCCCGCAACTTGAAGCGCCATGTCTGCGCAGGCATGCTGCACAACTTGGCCCTTCTGCGCATGCGCGAAGCGTGAATTAGCGCTTCTGCACATGCGCAAGCGGAGAAACCCAGAAGTAACCCATTCTGGTACTTCCGGGTTGCCACGGGATGCAAGATGAAAACACGCAACCTGAAGCGGACGCAACATGAGGTTTGACTGTACACTATACAAAGGAGAGGAAGCCTACAAGGGAGTAAGAGACCAAAAGGTAAACAGTTGGGGGACAGAGCTACATAGTGCTGTATAAAAAGGCATTAAAAGAGAAGCATCTAAAAAGAACACATGGAGTAAGAATGCGAGAAAAATATGCAGGAGCGTGGCCCTTCAGAGTTAATGTAAATGTAAAAAAGTGGCTCCTAGCTATTTGAATCAAACCCTTCTGTTACACATGGTATGTTTGTATTTTTGTTTGCAACCTACGCATCAAAAAACTGGTCTGACACAGACAAAATATATATTAAAAAAGAAATAAATTGTCCAGTAGCACCTTAGTTGGTCTCTAAGGTGCTACTGGACAACTCTCTCTCTCTCTCTCTCTCTCTCTCTCTCTCTCTCTATATATATATATATATATATAATAATTCAACCATACAACACAGTTCTCAAAACATTGCATATTTCCTTGCAGCAAAATTGAACTGCCAGCTGCAAAAAAAGACAACTAATTTCAAACATGCTCTTAAACATTTCAGTATATTCGGCGGGCAAGCAGTACAAGCTAACTTGTTGAAATTCTATTTGGCCCATGTAGAGAGGCTTCTACCGGTGGTTCCCCATTTACTGGCTAGCTGACCAAATCCTAAATTTTCACCCTAACCTACTTCTCAGTGTTTTTGTGAGGATAAAATATTGCCGTGTATAATTGGGATGCAAATTGGGTGCTTGTTGTTGTTTACTATTCAGATATCTTTCTTTTTTTAAATCAAACCATAAACTAGAACCATTGCATCTATTCTCATGCTCTTTAATTCTCAGAGATAATATAATAGCCTTTCAGGTTGTTGATGTGTTCCATAAGGATTGAGGTGTTAGATTAAGAGTGGTCGCATTTACCACACAGGACAGGGAAAAGTGCTGCTCGGTCCACAACACAAATCCCCTTGCTTAATTTTTCGGTTTGACACTTGGCTCTGTGCCTTCTAGCAAATAGCACTTGGCTTAATAGCACAGTTCTGCCCTGTGAGCGCAGGGGACTGTCGAGACAAAAGGGGACTCCCAAGTCACCCCAAATCAGGGAAGGCACACTTTTTTCTTATAGCACTTTAAAGATACAAACAAGAAGGCTTGTATCCAATTTCCAGTTATAGTGTCGTTCCATACATTCTAGGCAGTGATACTTTAAACCAATCTGTACTGTATCTGACATTAGGCTCTGAAGAATTTGTTAAAAGCAGTTTTGTTCTGCGCTTTTTTCCTGGGGGGACGCAGGGGGACACACACCCCTAAACATTTTGTGAATCTAAGTTTGGCCTCTTTGAGGGGCAGTATTTCAATATGAGTAGGAAAATGAGAGTACCACTAAACATTTTTTTATTTATTTTTAGGAAACAAGCACTGGCTTGTTTATTAACTTTGTTGTGGTATAGTGAGATTCATCATCACAATCCTCAGCAAATCAGTCCCTGAACAGTAAATTTATTTTATAAAGTACAGGTCATCCATCTTGGGGACCTTAGAATCAAAAGTCAGATAATGATCTCTTAAATAAATAAATGTGAACACTTCTCAAGAACTACTTTGATATAGTTTAGAAGGAAGAAATTACTGAACATTCGCATGGCTAGTAGAGAACAAACCTTTAATCGCAGTTAGCCATTACTCCAGTAACACCCTAGAAAGAAAGTCCATCAACTAAATTACCCACTGTACAATTTCTTAATGATGCTCAATGTATTTTTAAGGGTTCTGCTGCTTTTTAATTCCACCTGTCATTCTGCATGATTTTATCCACGCAGCACACAACTCTATTTTTATGGTATGTGCGACCTGATGCTATGCTTGTTTATTCAGAAGTAAGCTCCACTGAGTTAATGGTGCTTACTCCCAAGTAAGCATTCTTAGGATTGCAGCCATAGGCTTAGCAGCACAACAAATACCAAAGGATTGATTTTTTAAAAGATAGAGACATTTTTGGTTTAAAGCTTGATTTTCCAGGCACTAGTCAATTACAACAAAACAAAGCACATAAAAGAAACACGTCCCCGCAAAAACGCACAGTCATTTCTGAATTTATAAACAATAGCTCAAAAATATACTTTGATTTCTAATTTCTTCTTAATGCTTCTAGATCTAATATGTCTTTGTTTCTCAGTAAATCTGCTCAGCTGATTTTTTTTTTAAGGAACGCGCAGTCCTCTCTGCAATATTTACCGTTTCCAGGGAGCCTTTGTTTCACATCAAGTTATACACATAAGCTGAAAGAGGCAACTGGGGAGTTCAGCTTTTGTCATAGAAGTACCTTCATCCAGTCGAGAGAAAACTTAGCCCACATTCTACGGCAGCAGTTACAGGTAGTTTTGTCCCCATTCTTTGTTGCTGGTCTTCCAAGGCATAAAGAAAACTAGGCAAACAGCCCAAGCTGTGGAACTGGATTGAAAAAAAGCTTAGAACCCGAGTGTGTCTAGGTCTCCAAAGCACACACACACAAATTTTGATTGTGTTAGGCAGCAATTAGCTGACATATCCTCTCGTTCCTTTGACCCAAGCCATGATGTGAATTCTGCCTCAGCAACTCCTCGCTTGCTGCTGCTTCCGTGAGTAACAGCAACCCAACAGCCTGTCTGAAACAATCTTCAGGAAACGTTAACATTCAGAAGGAGTACAGAGAAATAATCAAAAAATCAAAAAATCCCAGGGCATTCCGCATATCTTTGCAAAATAAACAATCAAAGAAATATATTGCTTTTGTGCTCTATTGATTGCTGTCAGTAATCTGCCTTTCAGATGCCACCTTGCAATCGTGCATTAGCCAATGGAAATATTCATTACAGTCAGTGACTTTGAGACGCACTCCTTCATTAAGACTTGTGCGGAAAACTTATACGTTAATACTGCAGGCTAATAGAAGATAAATAAACCTGGTGACTAAGATGCCCCGCTGTTCATCAAGGCACATTTTATTCTTTCTCATAAATCTGGTACCTTGCGCTCTCTGTTCCTAGGAGGTTTCTTTGGCTGGATTTGATCTGCTTTTTCTCCACAGGAGAGGACCAAACATATTGACAACGCTGCCAACCCGGCATCTATCAGCAAAGAGGAGCCACATCCATGAAGCTTTGATCTGGAGACATTTAGAGGATCACATGTGCTGTTTCAGACCAGGGTGTGCTGCATGTTCTGTTCAAGGCTGGACTCCAACGAAAGGTTGCCGTGCGCAAAGTGCTTTTATTCAAAATGCCAGTAAAGTATCCCTTTCCAAGACAATTCATCCGATTCTTCCTCCTCCCTGTTTTCCCGTGTTCTTTCCCCAACATTCCATGCCCACTGATCATTTATTCTTCTATTTACATTACTTAACAGAATGTATACATGCAGCATGATTGCCAGTGGAACCTCTTAAGTTCTGCAGAAGGGGTAAGTTTTTCTTCATTAGAAGACTTGTAGGGAAAACCTATAGGTTAATAACTCAGGATTCGTGCTAAGCAAGATCCATCGGCTACCCTGAAGCCTTCCTGGGACTGGGTTCTCCTTAAACCCTCCTAAAATGAGCTTAAAGGAAAGCACCAGACTTTGTATTCCCTTTAGTAAAGGTAAAGGGACCCCTGACCATTAGGTCCAGTCGTGGCCGACTCTGGGGTTGCGGTGCTCATCTCACTTTACTGGCCAAGGGAGCTGGCATACAGCTTCCGGGTCATGTCGCCAGCATGACTAAGCCGCTTCTGGCGAACCAGAGCAGCGCACGGAAACACCGTTTGCCTTCCCGCTGGAGTGATACCTATTTATCTACTTGCACTTTGACGTGCTTTCAAACTGCTAGGTTGGCAGGAGCAGGGACCGAGCAATGGGAGCTCACCCCGTCGTGGGGATTCAAACCGCCGACCTTCTGATCGGCAAGTCCTAGGCTCTGTGGTTAGACCACAGCACCACCCGCATCCTGTATTCCCTTTAGGTTGCTGTTAAAATATGGGGGAAATAACAAGCATGGAAAAGGAGGCAAGGGGTCAGGGTAGAGGAGAAATGAGGGTGAACTAGCTAAGGTTAGTACAATCTGTCCTGGAGGATCCTATAAAGAAGTTAAACAACTTAAACGTTCTGCTTACTAAGAGGAAGGTTACGTGGATTGAAAAAACGAACAGTACTTAAGATCTGGCTGAAAGTTTCCAACACAAAAGGTGGGTATACTAAATGAGAAGAGATGGGATGTTCTAAGTATCCCACCACAAATCAGTGGTGAATTCTAGGTGCAAATGTGATTGGAAAATCTAGGGTCATACTCTCATTGATCAGGGGTGCCTAGTGCAAAAATACCTGGTGCAGACAGGGTTCTGTTTGCAAACCTAGAGTGGTGGATCCTAATCTTAAGAGATGCAAATGAATGTTGATGAATTCAGAGGTGGGTTCTGGTTCGAAAGACACTTTGGTTGCCACTGGGACAAATACAGGTTGAGACAGAGGTGCGTGCTTGATCTCACTTTGTGCCAAAGAAAAAAGGAGCAGAGAAGGATATTTCAATCTATTTAGAGTCCTTGCTTACCATGGTAATGTGAGCAAGCCTTATTCCTATTAGGGAAGGAAGGCTGTGCATGCCATGACATGCTTCCTCTGCCATGCTTGGGAAAACCCACGTTTTCTACAGTCACCTGTAGAGTGAAGGTCAAGGGGCACAAACACAATGACTGCAAGAAAGACTGCCTTGGTAAGAGGTGCACCAACGGAACATTGCTTTTTGGTTAGGATCTACCGGGTAACTTCTTCCTCCCTGCACCCCTTCCCCAGAGTGCTCCCATCCATTAATTTCTTTTGGCTCAATATAAGAAAGTAAAAAACAGTAAAGGAACCCTGGACGGTTAAGTCCAGTCAAAGGCGATTATGGGGTTGCGGCACTCATCTCGCTTTCAGGCTGAGGGAGCCGGCGTTTGTCCACAGACAGCTTTCCAGGTCATGTGGCCAGCAGGACTAAACCGCTTCCGGCGCAACAGAACACCGTGATGGAAACCAGAGTGCACAGAAACACTGTTTACCTTCCCGTCACAGTGATACCTATTTATCTACTTGCACTGGTGTGCTTTCAAACTACTAGGTTGGCGGGAGCTGGGACAGAGCAACAGGAGCTCACCCCGTTGTGTGGATTCAAACCACTGACCTTCCGATCAGCAAGCCCAAGAGGCTCAGTGGTTTAGACCACAGCTCCACCCATGTCCCAAATAAACAAGCACACAATCACTGATAGGTCCCCCTGCCATTATGAGGCTCAAAGCAATGAAGATGATGCCTCCCCAGCTGTTGTCATTGGCTGTGGGTTTCTTGTGATGTCACAAAAGCACTTGGCAACTGAGTGGATATACAGGCAGGCCAAGGGGAAAGCCCTTTTCTATTTCCAGCAGGACACACCTGGGAATGGGATGTGACATTCAGCTCTGCCCAGGTTTCTTCCACTTGGAGGAGGCAAAAGTGGTGAATGGAAGGAAGCAATCCTCTGGCAGTGGGATGCTAAGGAGCGATAATAAGGCAGGTTTGCTTGCTTGAAGGCTGCTGGTATCTGTGGTTGGAAGCTGGCGGACGTCTCATGATGTACCTAACAGTAACTTCTGGCACAATGGGACACCATGACAGAAGCCAGAGTGCACAGAGATGCCATTTACCTTCCCGCCACAGTGGCACCTATTTATCTACTGGCACTGGAATGCTTTCGAACTGCTAGGTTGGCAGGAGCTGGGACAGAGCAACGGGAGCTCACCCCGTCGCAGGGATTTGAACCGCCGACCTTCTGATCGGCAAGCCCAAGAGGCTCAGTGGTTTAGATTGAAACTCAAAGACTTGAAGGGCTGTCACATGGAAGACATCTTGTGTTGATTGCATGGAAGATAGAGCAAGTTTGTTTTCTCCTGCTCTGGAAGATAGGACCTAAACCAGAGGCCTCAAGTGCCAAGAAAGGAGATTCTGACTAAATATCAGGAAGAACTTTCAGATGGTAAGGCTGTTCAACTGTCAGGCTGCTGCTGGCCAGTTGCCCAGGAACGTACAAAGACAAGGAAATGTTTCTTATCGTCCACTTTTTATTCAGCGTTTACAGAGAGAGGCTATAGAACCCAGCCTCTTGGGTAATGGCGTTAGGATAATGCCTGAGTGAATCTCCACCCCCACCATCTCTCACACTTCCTCATTTGTCACTTCTACAGGTGCTGCTACGTGCCCTCTGACTTTGAGCTCTCTGCTCTCCTACTTTTAAGGCTTACTGGGTTCTGGGAGATGGAGGGTCTGGAATGCTTGCTAAAGACACTGTGTCCCTCAGCTGTTGCCTCCTGGTGCTTCCTCCTCCTCTCCCATCATTTCCTAACTTTCCCCCTCATGTGCCTGTGAGCTGTGACCTCCCTCAAACCCCTGTTGTAAATCTAAACTGTCTTCCTCTTCCTCCTCGCTGGAAGGGTCAAGTTGGGGAGGCTGATGTGGCGTTTGCCCATTCGTTTAGAAAATGCCTGTACAGGGGAGAGAGAAAGGGTTAAAATGTCGACCAATAGGAAAGCTGGAGGCGGAGCCTCCCTGTTTATAAAAGGGCTTAGCCTGAGATTTGAGTTAGTTAGTTGGTTGGTTTTAGTGGGTTGCTTGGTTGGGAAAGGCAGTTGGAAAAGCAGTTGGCAGGTAGTTGGTAATAGAGACAGTTGGTGCAGTTGGTTCTTGTGTGAGGGGAGGGAGGTAGAAGAGATACAGACAGGATAAAATAAGACTAGGAAGGTAAAGAGTAACAACGTTTGGAATGCAGTTAAAGTTTGTGTCTGAAATAAACTACACTCTTCTTTGTCAACGTGAGAACCTGACTGAGACTTAAGTGATTTACCTGGGAGGACCTGGTTGGGGGCAGCGGATTAGTGGTGTACGGGTCAATAGTCCATGAGACGACCGGGGGCTCCGTACAAACGCCACAGCTGTCTCCACCATTCCTCCTCTGCCCAGTCCCTAACATCAACAGTGGAATGGACTCTCTCGGAAAGCAGTGGACTCTCCTTCATTGGAGGGTTTTAAGCAGAGGTTGAATGGCCATCCATCATGGATGATTTAGTTGAGATTCTGGCTTTGCAGGGGTTGGGCCAGAGGACCCTCGGTGTACCTTCCAACTGTATAATTGTATGATTTCTTTTTACAGATTACTCTCCCTGCCACGTTCCTGCCCTTCCCGGAGCCCCACCACCTTCCTCTTCCTAAGTAGGCAAGGAGGCAGGACTTCCTACGGAAACCTGCATGGAGCACGTAGAGGACACGGACTCCACACCACATGCAACAGTGCAGGCCTTTGCCTCCCATGTCAAAGTGTGATGGCCTGGGACTCGGGCTCGGACTCGGCACCAGAGGAGTTTCAGTCCGCACTGGATCCTTTGCCTCAGGCGGCATCACCATCAAGTCAGGGGCCTGATTCTGAAGAGCCCCAGTCTGCACGGGTTCCCCTGCAACAAGCACCAGCTGGGCTGAGTCAGGGGCCTGAGCCTGCCCTGGCTCCAGATGTGGGGATTACCTCGTTGTCTTCAGCTGGGCCATCACTTACAGCTGCTCCACTACCAGTTGGGTCAGGAGAGGCTGAGGCAGCCTCTGGGTCTAGTAACCCACCGACATCTCCCAAGCTGCAGAGACCGAGGTCTGAGAGAAGGAGAGATCTGAGTACTCGCAGGAAGAGGGCTCGCCTTCAGGTGAGACGGAGGTGAGTCACTGGGGGATCGGGACCGGCCATTACCCCGACAAAGATAAAAGGCTGTTGGACCCCGCCGCAGGTTGCGGGAGCAACATTGCTGTTTGCTAGAACCTGCCTGAGACCCTGCGCCCGACTTAGCCTGGTTTCCTGCCTGGGCCCTGTCGGACTGACTCCTCGCGGAATCCTTGGATTTGGGACTGAACCTGGACCGCGTTGCTCTGGTTAACCCCTGGGCCCAGCACACAAAGGTTGTAGATCTGGTACTGAAATGGATTGCCAGGTAGCTCTCAAAGAAGCATGCAATTCTATCCTACTCAGATTATGTATGGACTGGGCCATTGTATTATATGATATGCCCCTCTCTGCACTGGGAAACCAAATAGAATGGACTGGAAATGATCAAATAGTTCCTGTACCTGTGCAGGGATGCAGGCAGAGAGCATGTAGAGTTCACTGGAGTGCTGCATTTTAAAAAATATTATTTTAGAGATTGTGGCTGCATATTACAATGCCCTTACCAATTAATTTGCATTGGGCTTGTTTGGCAACGTTTGTTTATTCTGTAATGGTAGCAAAGTAGGGAGAACCAGGCAATGCCCTTTTAATAATTCATAATTTTTTGTCAAAACAAACATTTCAAACTGTCACAACCCCCTTTTCATTTCCTCCTTCGTTCCTCACTTTCACCGTAGCCTATAAAGGATGTGTTAAAGAAGATGACAAGATTGCAAAACAGGTGACATCTGCGGTGGGCGGGTGGACGGGGAGGAAGGATCAAGGATTATGGAGGATGAACATCACAAAATCCTCCTCCCCCTCCAACCCCTAGTTACTTATGCAAATTTCTTAAGATAATTTTGACAGCAACTTATTCGTGCAGGTTGTGGTAGTCATTCGTGCAGATTGAGACCATCCATCGCCATCCTGGTGCTCTCCAGAGACTTTGGACCATAGGTAAGCAAACTAAGGCCTGTGGGCCAGATCAGGCCCAATTCCCTTCTGGATCTGGCCCATGGATGGTCTGGCAATCACCGCATGGATCGCCAGTGCGCACATTTTCCCCCTCTCCATCCCTCTCCCTCACACAGCGGCGGCGCCACCTCCTCCCTCCCTCCCTCCTGGCTTCTCCCTGCCCTGCCTAGAGGAGGAAGGGGGCTGGTCTTTGTTGATGCCAGCAGCAGCAGCAGCGCTTGAGCGGCCGCCATTTTAAGCAGCCCCTCTCTGGAACCCTTTTGCTCGCCGCTCATTGTCCCTCCACCGCTGCCAGCCCCTGCCGCTCACAAGACACAGGTAAGCAGCCACCGGGGCTCGTGGTGCTCTTGCATCATTTTTTTCTTCAGAATATAATCTGGCCTCCCACAAGGTCTGAGGGACAGTGGACCGGCCCCCTGCTGAAAAAGTTCACTGACCCTGCTTTGGATTAAAGGTCCGTGATGGGAGTTGAAGGCCACACTAGACAAGCCATAACAACCCACTCCAGAAAGAAAAGCAATTCCATGATGCGCAATGCATATATCCGGAGGACCAGGCTACCTCGAGGCGCCTGTGTACATTGACTGGTAGCAGCTGTCAAGGGTTTCAGACAGGGATCAGTCCTAGCAATTTCTGGATACACCAGGATTAAATTTACAGAGGCGGTTATAGAGTAGCACAAGTTTGAAAGCCTGCCAGCGCAAGTAGATAAATAGGTACGGCTGTGGTGGGAAGGTAAACAGTGTTTCCATGCGCTCTGGTTTCTGTCATGGTGTCCCATTGCGCCAGAAGTGGTTTAGTCATGCTGGCCACATCACCCGAAAAGCTAGCTCCCTCGGCCTGAAAGTGAGATGAGTGCCACAACCCTATAGTTGCCTTTGACTGGACTTAACTGTTCAGGGTTTACCTTTTTACTGGGTGCCACCCTACAGGGGGTGCAAAAACAATGCTGTAGAGGCAGGGACACCGCATTTGAGAGCCCAAAGTCTGCCACCGGGACCTGGAACTACCTGAACGCTCCAGCACTTAGCTTTGGCCCTTCTGAATGTTTGCCAAACTGAGTTTCAGGTGTTAACGGGTTTTTGACAGGCAAGTCCTGTGTGCATTTAAATCCCTGCTTCTAATGAAACATCCAGTGTGGGCGCCTAGATGCCACTTCAAATTTCACCCTGCTAAAAATGTGGCACACAAACCAACTGCAAGTTTCCACTTGATAGAAGCTGAAAGGAGGCACGTCTCTCTCCTTCGCCTCAGAACATTAATATTTACAGTGAGTTCCTGAGGAATGAAGTGAGGCTCAGAGTCAACTGACTGACACTCACCAAATGCTAAAAGCAAGCCAACCCACAGATGCCTTTTAATTTTCAAGGATCTGTTCAGGTTAACCTCAGATGTCTGCCTCGCCCTTTTCTTCCTGTTGTAATTGAAACAGTCAAAGAAAAAGGAAAAAAACCCACATAAGATAAACTGCTGAAAGAATTGTTCAAGATATTATAGGAGATTTAAGAAACTTCTCAGCTGCTTGTTTATTTAATCACTAATTGATAAAAATCTGCAAAGTGAGAGTTTCCAAATAGGAAAACAATTAGCAGAGTTAATCAACAGAGATAAATGAATAAATAAAAATTGGTTAAATTGTACACGTTTTGAATTTTAGAGAAGCAAAATCCCATGCTATTTATCAAGACGGTGTTGAGCGGGCAGTAGAATCGAAGGGAATGAGGCAGCTGGATTGCACCCAGAGAAGAACGAGCAGAACTCCACTTGTACAACGAGGCTTCCCAGATTTCTTTCTCCACGATAGGTCCCTGCAACTCATCCCCCAAAGCCACGCAGTGCTCAGGATGATGGGATGCTGTGCATCGGGATTGTAGTGGAATGGAGAATTTCAGCCTTACCTGTGAGTGGAAGCTCCTTTCCACTTGTGCAAAACGCCTTTGGATCCAGGTCACTGTAATTTAAATAACACAATCAAGCCAACAAAGAAAATTGAAGTGTGATTCTTACCACATTTTCTCAGCACTAATTTCCTCTAAGTTTAATGTGTGGAGGTTGTGTAGCCCCAGGTGTTGTTGTTGTAGTTGTTTAGTTGTTCAGTTGTGTCCGACTCTTCGTGACCCCATGGACCAGAGCACGCCAGGCACTCCTGTCTTCCACTGCCTCCTGCAGTTTGGTCAAACTCATGTTTGTATCTTCGAGAACACTGTCCAACCATCTCGTCCTCTGTCGTCCCCTTCTCCTTGTGCCCTCCATCTCTCCCAACAATCTTTTCCAGGAAGTCTTCTATTCTCATGAGGTGGCCAAAGTACTGGAACCTCAGCTTCACGATCTGTCCTTCCAGTGAGCACTCAGGGCTGATTTCCTTCAGAATGGATAGGTTTGATCTTCTTGCAGTCCATGGGACTCTCAAGAGTCTCCTCCAGCACCATAATTCAAAAGCATCAATTCTTCCCCTTCATGGATCACTGCCTTGCCGTGGCGAAGGGGCTTGAATAACTCAGAGAAGCTTGGAGCTATGCCATGCAGGGCACCCAAGATGGACAGGTCATAGTGGAGAGTTTTGACCAAACGTGATCCACCTGGAGCAGGAACTGGCAAGCCACTCCAGTATCCCTGCCAAGAAAACTCCATGGACAAAGACAACAGGCCCCAGGTGAGGGCTGCTTAAATGGCTTGGTCGGCTCTGCCCCTTGCACAGCCCATGTCCAAGCCAGCATCCCCATTCGCCAAAGTGGGATGCAGGCCAGGATCCAGCTCCTGATAGGCAGTGCAGGCTTAAGGAAGGGGAACTGAGGCCATGATCCTTCATTGGGGCCCCAGGGAGCTTCTGCCGTCCTGCAACACCACCACACTAAAAGGGGTGAGCCAACTTGTGTGACATAATCCCTTGAATATTTAGATTTATTTATTTATTTACTTACTTACTTACTTACTTACTTACTTACTTACATTTATATCACACCTTTCTTTCTTCTGTTGTGGAATGCAAGGTGGGCCACAGTAGTTTGCACATGAAAACACTGCTCACCTTCCTGCTGCAGCGGTACCTATTTTTCTACTCGCGTTGGTGTGCTTTCGAACTGCTAGGTTGGCAGGAGCTGGGACAGAGCTATGGAAGCTCACCCTGTCATGGGGATTCGAACCGCTGACCTTCCGATTGGCAAACCCAAGAGGCTCTGTGGTTTAGACCACAGTGCCACCCGTCCAGGGGTCCTTTACCTTTACCTTTCAGTAGTTTGTATCCTGGGACGCGGATGGCGCTGTGGTCTAAACCACAGAGCCTAGGGCTTGCCGATCAGAAGGTCAGTGGTTCGAATCCCCACGAAGGGGTGAGCTCCCGTTGCTCTGTCCCAGCTCCTGCCCACCTAGCAGTTCGAAAGCACATCAAGTGCAAGTAGAAAAATAGGTACCACTCCGGCAGGAAGGTAAACAGCGTTTCCGTGCGCTGCTCTGGTTCACCAGAAGCAGCTTAGTCATGCTGGCCACATGACCCAGAAGCTGTCTGCAGACAAACGCCGGCTCCCTCGGCCTATAGAGCGAGATGAGTGCGCAACCCCAGAGTCGTCCACGACTGGACTTAATGGTCAGGGGTACCTTTACCTTAGTTTGTATCCAGGCATGACTAGACCTGTAGAGCTTCAGCATTTATTAAATAAATATTTTTTAAGAAAAATCCAAGGGGGCACAGGTTCACCATCCCTGCTTTTTTTAAAAACAGCAACACAGTACCATACTGAAAAAGCAGGAATATGAAACTTCTCAGCTGATTTGATATGACCATTCAAATAAAGTGCGCTCTCGAGATCTTTGTGACTCAGCCTTTGAGATTCAAAATAAACCATCCATCATTAACACAACTGCACCTAAATATTTATAGCTGACACCGAACCTCCGGCATGAAACAGTTTGTTTCATAAACATTTCTATTTTGAGCCATTTGACTGGCCTTCTTTGGCTCCATCAGTTTCAGAGAATTCAAGTTCTACCTTCTTTGACATCTATCTCTGCCATGCCCCAGAGATGGCACAACAAGATCAAGAAATAATAAAGCATCTTTCTTTCTTCGATTTTCTTCGATTTGCAGAAAGCAAGATCTGAGAAGCAGCTCGAATGATTTACCTCCTATGTTGCCAACAGCAACGGTTCTTTTACTGGATCCAAACGCATTGGCCAAAACAATGAGTGCAGGATAGCAGGTGTTTATTACAGCTGAATTACAGACAAAATAAGCAATGCTTACACCCCTTTTGTCAATGGGAACCCCTCAGAACAGCAATGGGCAGACTCCTATGGATGCACTTTCAGTCTACATGATATTTGTTGAGAGTTTCTGGAACATGAAAGTTTTCACTGTGCTATAGCCCCCTGCCATGGTAATTGCTTTAGGGTTGCCATATGTCCGGGGAAACTCGGACATGTCCTCTTTTTTAATAATAATAATAATAATAATAATAATATTTTATTTATACTCCGCCCTTCCCGGTTCAGAAAACTGGGCTCAGGGCAGCTAACAACAAATCTAAAAATTGATGCAACAAAAAACAGCATAAAATACAGTATAAGACGTGAATAATAATTTCAGAATTCAAAAGTCAATTTAGGGGGGAAATCCATCCAATAACCATTAGATGATCACCAGGGCTAGCTGGCTAAATTAGTCCTATTTGGGCCAGCGAGGAGACCAGGGGAGAATTAGCTGTGGGATCCCTGAGCGGGTAATCTTCATAAAAAGGGGAGGGGGAGGGAAGGAAGGGGAATAAAAGATCAGGCTAAGTTCAAATTGAAAGCCAGGCAGAATAGCTCTGCCTTACAGGCCCTGCAGAAGGAAGTTAAATCCTGCAGGGCTCTGGTCTCATGGGACAGAGCATTCCACCAGGTGAGAGCCATCACTGAGAAGGCCCTGGCCCTGTTGGAGGATAATCTGACTTCCTTAGGGCCTGGGACCTCTAAACTATGATTATTCATGGACCTTAAGATCCTCTGCAGGGCATACCAGGAGAAGCGGTCCCATAAATATGAGGCCAGCATGCCCATCCCAGCAGATATTTACATTTTAAAGGATATGTCCGGGTTTGCACACCACAGCCACTGCCAGCCCGAGTCAGGGAAAGAGGCATGCAGGCACAGAGGCAGCAGCCCTGTGCACCCGCACCCACATGCCTCTTCCCCCCAGGCTCGGGCTGGCAACAGCTCAGGCTGTCCCCTTCTTTGCTCTTTGAGATATGGCAGTCCAAAATTGCTTCTGCCTGCTGAAATGCCCATCCAGTTTTGAACAACCAGTGATCTTGGTTCACCCCTATTTCAAATACAGTCATACCTTGGTTCTCGAACAGAATGCGTTCCGGGAGTCGATCGGACTGTTTGAAAACCAAGGTGTAGCTTTCGATTGGCTGCAGGAGTGTCCTGCAGCCAATCGGAAGCCGCAGAAGTCGTGCCAGATGTTCAGCTTCCCAAAATTGTTCAAAAACCGGAACACTCATTTCCAGGTTTTGATCGTTTGGGAGCCGATTTCTTTGAGAGCCATGGTGTTTGAGATCCAAGGTATGACTCTAGTTAATAATAATAATAATAATAATAATAATTTATTATTTATACCCTGCCCATCTGGCTGGGTTTCCCCAGCCACTCTGGGCGGCTTCCAACAGAAATATTAAAATACAATAATCTATTAAACATTAAAAGCTTCCCTAAACAGGGCTGCCTTTAGATGTCTTCTAAAAGTTTGGTAGTTATTTTTCTCTTTGACATCTGGTGGGAGGGCGTTCCACAGGGCAGGTGCCACTACCGAGAAGGCCCTCTGCCTGGTTCCCTGTAACTTGATAATATTAATATTTGACCCGCAATTCTCATGGCAAAATATTAACATGAACCTAAAGGCTGACTCTGGATCAAGAAAAACTCTGGACCCTGAAAATGGTTGAGTTGCACCCCTTTCAAAAGAACTCGTCCAGGAGAGGTTCCAATTGGGCACAACATGATTTATTCTGTTAGCTTGACAAAAGCTCTCATTATTTCAAGGACTTTCGCTTCACGGTCCAGCAAAAGAACCAGTCCCTGTGAGGGCCAATTCATGATCCAATGCTTTAAATTGGATCAATAGTTCAGACAATTGCCGGCGTAACCCAAAGTCGGTTGTAGCAGTAGAGAATGGCCTTCCAATCTGTTGTCTGCGTCAAGCAGAAGTCCTCACAATAAAATCTTGATGTTCTTTATCTCAACAGTTGAGTTTGGTACAGAACCAGTATGAATCCTGGCATGAGAACTGTAATGTAACTTGTGGGCTGAGAGAGGAAATATCGCATGCTGGAGTTGTGAAGATAATGTGTGATCATTATTAGTAATGCCATTTTACAGGAAAATGTCAAAGAGTAAAATTTAGAAGCATCTGCCTTCTATCATTAGGCAACATGGATACAATTTGATCCAAAGGCTTATGCTATTATGTTTGTGCCTATTTCATATCCGATTATATTAGCAATATTTAATTGTGTACAGTCGTACCTTGGAAGCTGAACGCCTTGCCACTCAAACATTTTGGCTCCCGGACGCTGCAAACCCGGAAGTGAGTGTTCTGGTTTGCAAACGTTCTTTGGAACCTGAACGTCTGACAGGGTTTCCACGGCTTCCAATTGGCTGCAGGAGCTTCCTGCAGCCAATCAGAAGCCTTGCCTTGGTTTCTGAACATTTTGGAAGTTGAACGGACTTCCAGAACAGATTCTGTTTGACTTCCGAGGTACAACTGTACAGTGAATGGGCGATCATCTTTGGGGCCAAGAACACCCCAGCTGCAAAGATTCCTTGTGTGTTGCCTGTATCTTCAACATCCATTTGCTCCCCCTGATCCTACTGAAAAAGTACATCATGGTGCCTTTCCAAACTGTTGCTCCTAACTTTCTCCCAGACAGCCACTTGAGCAATTCGCTTTTCTAACGTTGGAGGAGGCCTGCTGGAACAATTCACTTTGCTATGAGAAGAGACAGATACAAACAATAGCTTCAGACTTTGTTATCTATGGCTAAAGGTTTCCCATTTCTTTCTGTCCAGCATAAGCAACCGTAATCCTGTTAAGACAGAGAGCGCTGCGCAGACGTCAGACTTCATTGCATTACTCACCTTGATGCATTGGTTACTTTATGTGAAACTGAATTTTTTGATGTTACAAATGATGCGTTTTTCCATTCAAATTCAGGATAGACGGAGAAGGCCACTTTAAGGAGGGTCTCTTTCTCTGGCCTAGGAAGAAATTCAGAAAACAATATCCTGGCTGCTTGAATACTTAGGCACTGCTTCTATTGATGTCTGGGTTTTATATTGCAAAAAATAAAATCTCTTCAACATGATGAATGGAGATATCTCTGCCTTCATTGAAATGCAGCAATACTTGGATGCCTTTGCTTAAATGTACATTGTAAAAAATGCAAAAATCAAATTTCTAGCAACTGCTGAATTTCCCAGTCGCATAGCACGGCCGATTCTTTCTCTCTGAGCACACCATGTATCCTCAGTAAAGAAAATGCCCTGTGCATGCAGTCATAATATGTGACATATTGTTGTGATTTAAGCAAATATCGCCTTGAAAATTTTGCTACCCCCTGCCTCAGAAACCTCTCCTATGCCAGTCCCACTGAAATGAGTAGGAAGAGAGATGCCTTGAGCTGAATGGCAATGAGAAAAATGGAAGGGCCTTTTATCAATACAAAAATACTGGTATGCAATAGACTATAAGGACTAAACTACAGTGGAACAGTCTCCTTCGGGAGGTTGCAGACTCTCCTTCATTGGATGTTTTTAACTGGAGGTTGGATGGCCAACAGTCTTGGATGCTTTGGCTGAGATTCCTGCATCGCACAGGTTTGGGTAAGATGATCTTTGGGGTCACTTCCAACTCTACAATTATATGAGAAAAGGAAGGCATTTGTAGCCTTCCCACAATAGCTAGGCATTGTGATGTGGGCACTTCTTCACTATGTTTCACCGCTTCTTTTTGTTTATAGCGAGCCTATTAGGCTTGGCAGCTCATAAACCCTCAGTAGCAGCAGAAGCCACAACAGGTAGACTTCTTCTCCTGTTTAACCTTTAAGGGACAACAGTGCCATCCCTCTCCATCTCTGTCAGCATCCAGATTCTAGGCTCAACCTTTTCTCACATGCCCCAACTCTCCAGAACTCACTCCCCTCCTACTAATAATACACAGCTCTTCCTGTCCTTAGGCCCTACAGAATCACCCCGTGGTACCTCTGCATGGCTGTGCTCCTATAACTCATTACCTACTCAAGTTCCTACTTTTCAACTGACTACTTTGTCCCACTTCCTTAGCCATTTGGCAGCATACAGCCCTCTCCTAACCTTAAGGACTGTGAGGTTTCTTCACAGTTCATTCTTGCTTTATTTGCCTGACTCTTCTGCCCTTTCCCTCAACCTTTCCCTCAGGTCCTTTTATCACTTTCCCATTCCACATTCTACTTTCAATTCCCATTTCCCTTAGCACCTCCATTTTCTGAGCCTTCTTGCCAGTCCTCAGCCTGCCTCAAGCAACTCCTCTCGCTTCTAGGACTTGTGTAGAATTTAACCCCCTCCGTATTGATAGTTTCCTCTCTTCTCACAGAAGTTGGAATGCAAACATTACAACAGCTTTGTTCCATGAGCTACTGAATGTTTATGAACATTCTGTGCCACCACGGCAGCTCCTCACAGTCAATGCCTTAAGGCCCAGGGGTGTCCAAACCTTTTTCAAAGAGGGCCAGCTATGATGAAGTGAACATGCGTGAGGGCCGACCAAAGTTGTTGTTGACCTTTTTTAGGATTGAAGTTTTTTTTAGGATTGAAGTTTACCTCAGGAAATAAACTGCCATGGGGGCCACATTAAACCGTCCTGTGGTCCAGATTGGGTCCCCAAAACAGACTTTGGACATGCCTGCCATAAGCTTAACCACTGCAAGCACAATACAATATATCTATCTACAGTGGTAACTCGGGTTACATACGCTTCAGGTTACAGACTCCGCTAACCCAGAAATAGTGCTCCAGGTTAAGAACTTTGCTTCAGGATGAGAACAGAAATCAGGCTCCGGCGGCGCGGCAGCAGCAGGAGGCCCCCTAGCTAAAGTGGTGCTTCAGGTTAAGAACAGTTTCAGGTTAAGAACGGACCTCCAGAATGAATTAAGTACTTAACCCGAGGTACCACTGTATTTGGTTATTAGCAATTCCTTATACTTAAAAGCCATGGTTGCTTTTGAATGAAAAACACATGGCAGTTTCAAAATATAGCAAAAGATAGAGGAAGAAGTACAAGGGCGCCGTGCCTACCTGAAGCCAAAGACTTTTATTACATCACTTGTCCCAGTCTTTCCTTTCCCTATGTAGGTGCAGAGAGACATCCTTGGAGCGATGCTTCTCTTACACGCTGCCTCCTCAGCTAGAAACCCAATGTCTCATTCATTGTGTTGCTACATCAGGGCTCCCGCCCACTGAATGCCCTTGGCTTCCTATTCATCTTGGCAACCATGGCAGTATGGGCAACTTCCACTCCGTTCTCTCACTCTTCGCTTGCTTATTCGCTGCCAGAAAAATCACCCTCCTTTGTGGGAAGGAATAACAAGAAAAAACAACCATACCAACAAATCTGTCAACGTAGTATTTTAACATTGACACCACGTTCTTTTATAAAAAGTTTTCTTCTGCTAATCCGAAGCTGGGAGCAGCAAAGACCCAGCTAGGGGCAAGAAGTCCTCGACAAAGGTGGGAGGGCTGCTTCTGGCCATCCAAAGTGGGCAGGGGGACAAGATGTTTCGCAAATCAGCTTGCTGTTTGGATTGGCTGCCATGGAATGTCTACAACCCCCTCTGGGAAGTTTTGGGGGAAGGCTTCTTTAGGAATCTGAGAAACTAGCTGGCATTCTTTTTATCAGGCAGACTTTTATCAGGCAGGTAGGTAGCAGTGTTGGTCTGCCGCAGTCGAAACAACAACAACAAAAACAAAAATTCCTTCCAGTAGCACCTTAGAGACCAACTAAGTTTGTTATTGGTATGCATATCTTTCGTGTGCATGCGCACTTCTTCAGATACCAGTAACTCCAGTAAATGGTTTGTTTTTCCTTGTGGAACTCTTGCCAAGCTGGGTGATTCCTAATACAGTGGTACCTCAGGTTATATACGCTTCAGGTTACATACGCTTCAGGTTACAGACTCCGCTAACCCAGAAATAGTGCTTCAGGTTAAGAACTTTGCTTCAGGATGAGAACAGAAATCGTGCTCCGGCGGCGTGGCGGCAGCAGGAGGCCCCATTAGCTAAAGTGGTTCTTCAGGTTAAGAACAGTTTCAGGTTAAATACGGACCTCTGGAACAAATTAAGTACTTAACCTGAGGTACCACTGTAGAGTTGTCCAGTACAGAGAGTTCCTCCTTTATTAGCTTCTCTTTAGAGTACAGAATGCCGATCAGATGTTTGAGCAGCTTCTTGGAGAAAGTGTGGCATAGTTTCCTTGCATATTCAATTAGATAATTGGATTGTAGAGGGTTCCTAATTCTCAGACCCTTAGGTATAATGTCCAGGTTCTTGCGTTTAGTCAGAAAGAAGATGTCAGTCTGTACCTGTGCAAGTTTCTTGGTGAGGTTGATGGACTTCCATTTCATGCGGCTCAATGTGGTGCCTTCCATAGTTCTAGTTACAGGTAGGTAGCCGTGTTGGTCTGCCGTAGTCGAAACCAAACCAAAACAAAACAAAAAAATTCCTTCCAGTAGCACCTTAGAGACCAACTAAGTTTGTTATTGATATGAGCTTTCGTGTGCATGCACACGTCTTCAGATACCAATCTGAAGAATTATGAATCTGAAGCAGTGTGCATGCACACGAAAGCTCATACCAATAATAAACTTAGTTGGTCTCCAAGGTGCTACTGGAAGGATTTTTTTATTATTATTATCAGGCAAACTCTCCAAGGCAGGACAGTCTCAGCAACTTCAGCAAGACCTGCAGAAGCCACCTCTTTCTTCCACACCATACCGCAAAACACTCTTTGGACCCATTCAAACCATACATTTCATTGCTTTTGCAAGCTAACTTTTAATATTAGTCCCCTTCCAGGTCATGATCTGAAGGCAAAAGATACCATGATCTTGATGGGTAGGGTTGGGAGAGACCCCTCTTTGAAATCCTTGAGAGCCATTGCCAGTCAGCATAGTCTTCCTCTTCTTTTGCAATCACTTGTAGCAGAGTAAGATTGTCTTCCATGAACACGGTCTTTGCAGTGAGTCTGTAAGTGACTGTGGAGTCCAGTTCTGGATCCACATATCCTTCCACATCGGGGACATAAGTTTCTGGGTGGGAGTTGATCATGGTGAGGGTTTGCCAAGCGTGCCTTCCTCTAGCACGTTTCTTGTCCTGAGTTTGAGCATCTTCAAAACCCATGACACCTTTGGTAAAGGCTTTTTCCAATTGGAGCGCTCTCAGACCTGTGTTTCCCACTTGTCGGTGTTTATACTACATTTTTAAAAGATTTGCCTTGAAAGAGTCTTTAAACCTCTTTTGTTGACCACCAGCATTACGCTTTCCATTTTTAAGTTTGGAACAGAGTAGTTGCTTTGGAAGATCATAAACAGGCATTCGCACAACATGACCAGTCCAATGAAGTTGATGTTGAAGAATCATTGCTTTGACACTGGTGATCTTTGCTTTTTCTAGTATCCTTTCATTATGGTACGATTTTGATCTTAATCCAGTTTCTATATATTGGGAATAATATATCTAACTATAGCAGCAAAAACTATTACCGGTAGTCTTGTTCGCCCGAGTTCAGCAATTTAGCATCAGACCAAAATACTGTATATCTGCTATAGTTTGGCACTTAGTAAATGCTTCCTAAAAGGGAAAGGAAACGCTGTACAGATGAGTGCAAAAGTTTTTATTTGAGAGAGAAAATTCTTGAATAATGGAATCTAGCAAGTAAAATTGCTTCATATCAGGAACAAATTATCATTATTTTCCTAGTAGCACTAGACTCCTTCAGAAATATGAGGTCAGTAAAATTTTAACTCTAATACTGATTAGATTAATACTTTGTTGGGAAATCACTGTTTTTATATTTGTGTATCAGCTATGGAAACCTTACTGATATGTTTCACATCAGGAATAATTAACAGTGACAAGCTAAAATTAAACCCTCTTAGAAACTTAGTGCTAAACTTCTGGCATTTTGAAGGGCAGCCCCTGCTCCTGGAGATGTTGGGGTCACGGCTTGTGTTTGTATCCATGTCCCTATACAGTGGTACCTCAGGTTAAGTACTTAATTCGTTCCTGAAGTCCATACTTAACCTGAAGCACCACTTTAGCTAATGGGGCCTCCTGCTGCTGCCGTGCCACCGGAGCCTGATTTCTGTTCTCATCCTGAAGCAAAGTTCTTAACCTGAAGCACTATTTCTGGGTTAGCGGAGTCTGTAACCTGAAGCATATGTAACCTGAAGCATATGTAAGCATATGTAACCTGAGGTACTACTGTATCTGGTTTTACTGATAATATGTTCCGATAAATGCTTAAATTCAGCTAAAGTAAGAGTACAATACTATGCATGTCTGCTCTGAAGTATGTGCCATTGATTCCAATAGGAATTACTCTCAAGGAAGCGTCCTTAGGGACATGGGTGGCACTGTGGGTTAAACCACAGAGCCTAGGACTTGCTGATCAGAAGGTTGGCGGTTCGAATCCCCAAAACGGGGTGAGCTCCCGTTGCTCGGTCCCTGCTCCTGCCAACCTAGCAGTTCAAAAGCATGTCAAAGTGCAAGTAGATAAATAGGTACCACTCTGGTGGGAAGGTAAATGGCGTTTCCGTGTGCTGCTCTGGTTTGCCAGAAGCGGCTTAGTCATGCTGGCCACATGACCCAGAAGCTGTACGCCGGCTCCCTCGGCCAATAAAGCGAGATGAGCGCCGCAACCCCAGAGTCGGTCATGACTGGACCTATGGTCAGGGGTCCCTTTACCTTTACCTTTACGCGTCCTTAGGTTTGCAGCCTCAGTATTGTATTTATGCAACAGGCACCCTTGTGATAGATGTTAATACAGATTGGCTGAATGGTGTCAGAGTCTTTCACTAACAGCAAGCAGACAATAGATAATGCTTTTTAAAATGATTTTTAATTCCAAGCCTTTGAGATGGTCCAGGCTAGGCATTCAAACACATAAATTGAATCTGGTTGCCATGATAATAGATGACTGTTGCTGCTTTCTGTCTCATATTATTACTATTCCTATTATTATTTTATATTTTGCAAACTAAAATTGCCAATTTGATACTTGAACTGCGCAGTAGCTCACAATAGGTACAATCCAGTACCATTGAAATGATTTGTGGGTTTTCCATTCATTCGTGTTTATCCCATTTTTGTTACCTTGAAAGGCTTTAGTGTTTTTATACAATTTTTTGTGGTTTTATATGGCAGACACATTGGGAGACAGAACAACATGTCAATCACAGTAATCAGGTACAGTCTGCCTTTCTGTGCAGAGCTTCTGAAAATTAATGCACATACAATTGCTCCCTTTTAGACAAACATAATTATCCTTCTCTCAAAAATATTTGAGAGAAAAATAGAGTCGTGTTACTAATGAAACCACGTCTACTCAGATAGCAAAAAGACTGGGAAGTGCTGCTCTACCCAATATTTCTTGTTCTGATCTAGGCGTGACACCTCTTTCAAAAATTTAATTGTTTAGATTTTAAGCCCATCCTCACCTCAGGGCCACTTTGCTTTCTTCCTCTTGCCCACCCTCTTTGAGGAAGCCCTAGGGCAAGTAGATGGGGCATGTCATCCATGAGTGTGATGCCACTGGGGTCGAGGAACAGGAGGTGGCAAGCACCCACAAGTGGTTAGCATCCAGCAGTGGTGAGCACTGGGTGCCAGGCAGCAGTGATGGGCAGGAGATGGGAGATGGCCCCTGGCCCCTCCCTAGAACTTCGGGAGGAGAGTGATTTGATCAGTGCTAGCAATGGTGTAGTGCAGTTGAATGAACTGAACTACAGTGGTACCTCGGGTTAAGTACTTAATTTGTTCCGGAGGTCCGTACTTAACCTGAAACTGTTCTTAACCTGAAGCACCACTTTAGCTAATGGAGCCTCCTGCAGCTGCTGCGCCGCAGGAGCACGATTTCTGTTCTCATCCTGAAGCAAAGTTCTTAACCTGAAGCAATATTTCTGGGTTAGCGGAGTCTGTAACCTGAAGTGTATGTAACCTGAAGCGTATGTAACCCGAGGTACCACTGTAGTTAAAAAATCTCTGAAGTACATCTGAGAGTAATTCTCCTAATTGCAGGGTAAACCAAAGGTGAATTGTGTTCATTTTGGGGTAGCAGTTTGAATGATTTCAAGTTCATCTTCATATTCACACACAGAGGGGGGGTGCTCACAGCTTTCATGTAAAAAAAAAAGGCCATATATAAGAAAGTTAGAAAGCAAAATGTGGAGGCAACGATCTAAGGCTTATTCGGCAGATGCAAAGTTGCTGCTGCTGCTAGTCACTTAATCACTGCTGCTAAGCAATCAGAAGGAAGGAGTGTGAGGCATTTCCCGTATCTTTCTCGCCGAAGAGATTTGCTCTGTTCTAACAGGAGCAGCTGGCAGCAAAAAGTACAGGCAAAGGAACAAAGCAAACAATGCCTTGTGCCTTTAACAGCTGTTTGACTGGTGTTAGTGACTTGTGGAAGTCAGTTGGTAGTTCACCACACCTCAACCAGTGTGATATAACAGCAGAAGATGCAAAACCCCAGCAGATATTTCAGAGATTTCCTGTTCCTAGCAGACAGCTTCTTCCAGAGTCCCTGGTTAACAGAAAAACTCCTCTTCTGCACAGTTCAAAGTAATAAAGTGATTTTCATTTTCAGACACAAGACAATCTACTACTATCTACTATATTCTTTTTTAAAAAAGTTTTTATTTATACTTTTCAAGTTTATACATTTGATTAGTTTTACAATCAATTTAACATTTCAAAATTTGACTTCCTTCCCCCTCTTTCTGCGGTTCCTTAAATTTATTTTTTAATATGTTCTGCATATCGAAGTTCATTAAATTTGCTCCTTTAATTACCTACTTTAAATATATACTCCTGTGGAACTGCAGGTTATTGCAATAATGCAACTAATGTTTTTATCTGTTTACAATTTATCTGTAAATATTCAATAAACCATTTCCATTCTTTTATTTTATATAAAAAAAGTTTGTTATCTTGATTTCTTATTCTTCCCGTAAGTTTCACCATTTCTGCATATTCCATGAGTTTTTGTATCCATTCTTCCTTTACTGGGACTTCTGCTTCTTTCCACTTTTGGGCAAGTAACATTCTTGCTGCTGTAGTAGCATACATAAATAAATTTCTATACAATTTAATCTACTATATATATATATCTGGTCTTTGAAGTATAGATACATATGGACAGAAAGATCCAGTAACAGAATCACCATGCTAGCTAACACTGCTGTGTAAAACCCACAGCCTCTTCCCCTGACTCTCACAGATTCAGAATCAGACCCTGGCAGCATCAGGACATGCAACAAGACAGGATGCTACCATGTTGAAAACAATGCCCTACAGCAGGGACGTCCAACTCCCAAGAGACTGCAATCTACTCACAGAAAAAAACAACTAGCGGTGATGTACCCCTTTTGAGGGGGGCGATTGTTGAGCTTTTTTTAGGGAGGAAAGTTCCGTTTTGGGGGATTCAGGCAATATTTCACCTATTATACCTAGTAAAAAGGCTTCTGGTTTTATAACAGATGTATTTTTAAACATTTTCTTTAATTCATCATATATCATTTCCCAGAAAGCCTTTACCAATGTGCATGTCCACCACATGTGGTAGAAAGTACCCTCATTCTCTTTTCATTTCCAACACAGTTTTGAACTTGTTTTGTACATTTTAGCAATTTTACTCAGTGTTGGATTCTAACGATACATCATTTCAACAAACAGCATGCAGTAAACAAATTCTTCCCTTTTAGTGGAAAAGTCCACAGCACTTTTGGACGAAGCAGGGCAAGGTGGAGAAGAAGGGACAGTCTGAAGTGGGATTGCTCAATAGTGATTTAAAACATGTTTTGTTTTGATTTTAAATTGGAAAAGGCTGCAGAAAGAAAAACAAAACAAATGCAAGCCATCAGGGTCTTTTAAAGCCAGCTCAGTGGCACTCTCCGCAGCTAATTACTGAAGTCTGATATTTCTCCGTTAGCCACTGAGAACAGCTAAATGTGTTTGTCTTGACACCTCCCGAGTTTTGAGGGTCTCTGCTAATCCTGTGGTGGCAAAATTCTCACTTCCCAGTATCCTCGATGATAACATCCCTAATGATCACACTAATCATAGCAGCTTGTTGTATATGCAGCATTTTTGCAACAATCAAACTTGATAACAGCTCTTAGCCCCCGACCGATATCCCTGTGATATCACCTTGCTAAAATAAAAAGCTGCTACGAAACAGGGACTAATGACTGCATCTTGATGAAATCTATGATTCTGAGTCAGTTCTTCCCAGAGGCTGCTGGGATGACTTTATGACTCCGAAATTGTGGGTTGCACCAAGAAAAAGTGAAATTGCGGAACGTTGATCATTCACCTCTTCTCATTATAATTCAGGCTGCATATTCACAAAACCTGTAGGCACCTCAGCATTTGAGATAATTTGTGTATAGCCAAGTCTCCTTCTCTCGCCTTTATTAATTTCCTGGTCTCAGTCTAGGTTACAATACTGAGCAGGCCTCACACTTCCCTTTTCCTAATGTCTACCTTTCTACATCCTGAAATACAGACCATAGCTGTCAACATAGCTGCCAACCAGAGAATATTGAGAAGCAAAGCAGCTAGTAAGCCTGATCTTTACTGATCTGTTGCAACAGGGTGCTCCCCTCACACGCAGGAAAGGAGGAGGACACCGAACCCAGGTGTGCCTGCCCTTATTATATAGACATTTTAAATTCTCTGCCCTGGAGCTCAAGACCACCCCTCTATATATCATACATACACCACAGAAGGGGTGTAACCCAAGACCACCCCCCACAAACATCATACCTACATCACAGAAAAGATGGCCTACAACAGAAATCTGAATGTTGTTGTTTTTCCTGTCTGCCAAGTTATCTGATAATGCCTTATCTGATTGCCTTTCCTGGTAGTCTGTCACCCTTTGGTGATTTCCCAATTCCTGAGACAATGGGAAGGCTCCCTGACCCCCTCCCTCCTTGCAGAGAAAACATTTGGTCAGTTTGGGAGTCAAAATGGTTTCAGGTCAGTCTTCCTGTGATGATCTATGTACGTGCTTGGTTGGTACATTTGTGAACATTTATTTTATATATAAGACCTTATTACTAGAAAATCCTGAGCAGAACCCGAGGCATCTGAGGCATGGAAATTGAAGTTGCTTGGGACAAGAGTCGTGGGTTCCCCCAAAACCACAAGAGAGACAGTTTTGGCCAGTTCAGTGCGGGAAATTGTTAGGCAGCAGGATAGTCAGAGTACCCCCAACTTATCTCCTTAACCCCAAATCATTTTCTGGTGTGATTCAAGCTCCTGAATAGAGAGGTTTCCTACTATCGGCAAAACAAATCAAAACACGTGACAAGATACATATGCAGGGAATGCTCAGGATTCCCAAAATCGTTAGCATCACTTTTGTTTTCTTCAGGCGGGAGGTTTGAAAGTGTGATAGGAATTTTGAGGTCTTAGATCTATGGAAATGTTCATAAATGTACTAACCAAGTACGTACATAGATCAGCACAGGAAGACCAACCTGGAACCATTTTGATTCCTAAACTGACCAAATGTTTTCTCTGCAAGGTCAAAGTGGGAAACCTCCCCATTGTCTCTTTCCTCACAAATCCTGTCTTAAGGGCATATTTAAGATATGAATAGGGTGTGAGCCTGTGACCTGGCCCAGGAACTAAGTATTTATCACTACAAAAGAATGGCTGGGCTCCCCAGGCAATCCAATCAAGTAACTTGCCAGACAGGAGATAAACAACAACAGGAGAAAAACAATATTCAAATTTCTGTTTTAGACCGCCTTTTCTGTGATGTAGGTGTGATGTATCTGAGGGGTGGTCTTGATCTACAGGGTGGAAATTTCAAAAGTCTTTATAAGACTTTGCACCCATTTTTCTGGGTCCCTCCTCTCTCCTGCGGGTGAGGGGAGCACCCTGTTGCAACAGATCAATAAAGATCAAGCTTACTAGCTGCTCTGCTTCTCAATGTTCTCTGGTTGGCCTCTGCTATTTTCTCCTACCAATAGGGAACCTACGTAAGGACTCTATATGGGCTCTTAGATACCCCAAAAGGGAAAAGGGCATTTTTTGTTTACAACAAAAACAGCGATAAAACAAATAGCAAATTGATTTCGTAATTAATTGATAACTGTTTATATAAAGACCCATATTAAAGCAGCAGAAAATATTCTAAATTAGGATCACTTGTGCAGTTCATGTTTTGTTTTGTTTTCTTTATCCATAATACACTGTAATACTACTGCCCTCTTCTGGATCAGAGGGAAGATGACAAAGACGTTGGCGTTGGAATCTTTGTATCTCATTTATTAATACACTGTATATGCAGGTGTGCACAAGGTATTGGAAAGAGGAAAAACCCATTGAGAGAAGTTCGCGGGTTTCTGCAAAGGTGTGTATATATATGAAAAAGGCTGGCTCTGCTGAGAACGTTTTCCCCCCCTCCCCCCCTTTATGATAATTTTATACAGTCTTATCAGGTTTTATAATCATAATACAGTCAAATACAGTCAAGAGCATATCTCATGTTTTCAATTGTACCAATTTTGTGCTGAGAACATTTTCAAGGGAGGAGGAGTCGATGGCACCTCGTGGGTCCGTATTGCTCTTACAACTTGCGACATTCTCATCTAAAGTAAATATGACTGTAGATAAGATGAAGGAAGCCAATGAGAGGGAAATCGTTTTCACTCAAAAACAATGCCTAACATTTGTAAAACTCCCCCTGCAACGTTTGGCAGTGCAAACCCCATGTTTAACGAAGGATTAAAAAATGAGCCCTCAATTTTGG